GGGACTGACCTGTGAGGTCAATTCAGCATTTTTTGGGTCCTTTCCTATGTGGCACGTTGCTCGATGCTGTGGTGGGGAGGGCAGGGAGGAGGGAGATGAAGATAAAGATGAAGGAGACAGTGGCCCTTGCCGTTGGGAGAGAACCAGAGTTACAGAAAATGTGACTTCTTCAATGGAATAACAGATTTAAAAAGAGGCCAAATGAAAGGCTGGCAGCAGGGGAGGACTGGAGAGGAAGGGCAGTGAAGGAGTGGTGTGGAGAGGTGTTCTTTTGGGGTACAGAGCACTCCAGGGACGGGGGCCTGGCCATCCCTGAAGTGGGAGTGGGAGGTGAGTGTGGGTGGGTTGCTCAGCCTGAGCTCAGTTCGACCTCCAGGAGTGACCAGGGCACACCCCTCTGGGCCTCTGTCCAGGCTCTTTGCTGACCTGGCCAGAGCAGGGTGTGCTGGGGTGGAAGGGCTGACTTCTTCCTCTGCCGGCCATCTTGGCCTGGCAGTCTTGCCCAGCTTTGTACCTCAGATTGACTAATCGTGGTTTTAGGTCATCCATGATGCTTCTCAATGGCCCCATTGTTCTGGTAAATTCAGAAATCTGCTCTACGCTCAAAATGCTCTGTGGGTGCCCTGGGAGAGCTGGACATTTGAGCTGAGGCTAGTAGCCCATAGGGTACAGCAGCATGGACTGAAGAACAGGATGGCACAGGCAGGTCTAAACACGAGCCTCACAGTAGGCTTGGGAGTATCCAGATGCCAGGCCAACTGGGAACTTCCCAGAACACCTGCTGGCTCAAGTCCTCCTGAAAAGCCACCATAAAAGATGCTCTATCTCCCAGCAGCACAGCTCAACTCCTACTTAGCTCTGAGTAACTTCATCATACAGTTTATGTCCCAAAGAAATGAGAGACAAATGTTTAAATGTCATAGTGTTTACTTTATTTAAATCCTGAGGTTAAAAAATATATTATTTCCACATGGCATGGCAGACATTATAAAATAATATGCTTGGGGATACAAAAGTTTTCCACCCCCATTGTGCAGGAGGGGTGCTGATACTTGATGTGCTTCTAGATAATTCTTTGGCAGATAAGAATGAATTGGGGTCCCAGACCCGCCATCCTGTAAGGCCACATGAATTGAGGATTAATCAATTAAAGTGCAATTCCAAATCTGAAGCCTTCCCAATAAGGCTTGGGTGTTGCTGTGCAGCCACCGGAGGCAGAGTGTCTCTGGATAACATACGTCAAACAGTCTTTTTTTTTTTTAATCAGAGATGCCTCCTAAAATTTCAAGATATACTTTATTATTTAAAAAGTGCTTAAGAGGAAAGAGAGAATTATTAATTCAGTCTCTCCTGTTTCCTTGGAAGAAATGAGAGAAGAACTTACAAGGTACCCCTACAAAGTGCTTTCTCGGTAAGTGTTTTGTAAACACGAATGGCTGTCTTTGTGTATATGACCATCCTTGGTTCTAAGCATGACTTCTCTCTGCTTTAATTCTCAACACCTCTAAGCCACGGACAGTTGCTTGGCCTAAAGAATTCTCACATGTAGAATCACCAAGGTGCACTTAAAAAATAAAACTCCTTTAAAATTTTATCAGTGGACATCCAACCATATCATAAAACATAGGCTCTGTGACTTCATCCCCAAATGGAGATTTCCTTTCATTTGGGCCTGGAATAGTTTCACCACCTTAGATGATCATTTAAAAATTTCTAAAACACCACTTATTCTTGAGTTAGATGATCTGGCTTTTCATTTCTATCTTTCAAACCCTGTGGAGTTTTTCAGTTCCAGTGTCTTTGCCTGCTCTTGGTCCAGTCCACCTGGACTCCTGTGTGTTGAAGTCAGAAGCACTTTGTAGAATGCACTTGGACCTGAAAGACAACACTTTGTGCCAAACGTGCTTCCTTGTTTGCGGATAAGTGTATCTGACAGAGGTTGGCATGTTCTTGAAGGTGGCTTCAGTGGCAGTGATGAAGAAGGCATCTGGTATTGACAATAAGACGTGACTGTTATTCAGAGAGATGGGCCATCAAGAGGCTGCCTTTTTTTTTTTTTTTTTTTTAAGAGTGATCTGGGATCCCAAGGATGCTTCCTTCTTGCCGATTTCTAGTGTAATTCAGTCTAGCCAGGGCTACCACCTGCAGCAGTGGGTCTTCAATTGTTACTTGCATTTTTTTTAACAAAGTACTCCAGTCCTTAATCCTTAGTAAAGCTGGGAACCTGATTAAAATCAGAATAAAGCTATTTATAAAAGCCACTCTTAAATATGCCAAGATGTTCTGTAGCTGCAGAGAACACAGCAAACTTGAGCTTGAACAGCAACCTAATAAATACAAATGTCCACCCAGCACAAAAAATAAATTTGCTAATGAAACCACATAGTTAGGAAGTCACCTCGGGGCACGGGGCAGTCCTCCGAATGCAGCGAAGGCTTTTTTTTGAACAACAGCAGTCAGTGCTGGAGGTGGTGTGCACGAGGCCCAGCTCTCCCGGAGGAGTGGTTCTGGGTACGCTGCAACTGGTCCTCTGCTGTGATGAGTGACAGATACTCGGAAAGGACCTCAGATGGAATGTCCCGGGCCCCAAACCCATTAGCTACTCAGTGAATGGTGGTTCTTGTTGCATATGGTGCCAGTGACACTTCAGAAGGTCATCAGCTTGGCCAGTCTCCACAGTATTTTCAGAAAACTAAGCACTCAAAGACTCTAGATTGCTCTGGGTTCTCTTTTGTTAGTTTCTTTCTTACAGTGAACGAGCTGACTTCTGATTATCCTTTGCAAGAGGCTGGATGGATTCAAAGTTAGCACACTTCATTCTGAATAATCTCAGGCCATGTGGCATGCCTATGAGAACAAATGTGAGGCCAAGAAGAGTCGCGGGGGACCTGGCCACCTCTATTCCAATACTGAGTATGGTCAAAGCCTTGGTCAGGGAAAGATGATTGAGCACCTGACGGCTTTCTGCCAGAAGAGGCTGTTCCAAGGAAGCCGAATGCAAGAGGCCCAGCTCTTCTCTAGGCAACCTCTTTGAAAGGTTCTATTCTCCATTCCCCATGACCTGCTTAAACTGACTGGAAGTGCCCAACTCTCCCGTTTAAAGGTCTGAGTCCATTCCAGAAATGACCTCTTGTGGCCCCATGAGAGTCCTCTTTGCTGGTGGTGAGGCTGTGGCTGTTGGTGTGTGGTGGGATTGGGGTGTCTGCTGCACTTGGTCTGGAGTCCCTGACCTATTCTCAAGCCCTCAAAACCAGCCACACCAGGGTTATGACAAAGAGAAACTTTGGGAAGTGTGTGACTGGACTTGGGTCACAAGGCTAGCTGGAGGAATTGCTGGGCCCAGATCCCAGATTCTTGGATAGCCTGTTCAGTGTTCTCTCCCTCACCCCTGGCCCAACTGGGACCTTTTGTCAGATGCTGTTTACCCGTGGAAGACCTGGGGCCTGACTAGGTTCACAGACCAGGTAGCTGGTTCTGTGAACAAGGAATGAAGAGCTGTTCAAGGTGAGCTCTCTGTCATGGGGGAAGAAAAGGACCACAGAGAACAGGAAGATTAACTAATTCTTATGCGGGAACAGGTATCCCTCTGCTTCAAGTGGGGATGTCTCCTGGAGGTCAGGTGTGAGCTGAGCAGCAGGAAGTGGGCAAATAGGCTGTAGGGGAACCTGTCAGGTGGGGAGTGGGGCCAGGGATCCATCATGCCTCTGCTTACTCTGTTACTTTGGTTCTTAAGTTACCAAAGACTTTTGTTAAGAAGGCCCCAATGTTTGAAAGTGGTTCTAACCCTGGCTATGATTACTAGTAAACATGTCTGCAGGTGGGGCAGACGCTCTTATTTATTATTTATTTATTTTCTGAGATGGAGTCGTTCTTGTCACCCAAGCTGGAGTGCATTGGCATGATCTTGGTTCACTGCAACCTCCACCTCCCAGGTTCAAGTGATTCTCTTGCCTCAGCCTCCTGAGTAGCTGGGATTACAGGCACCCATCACCACACCGGCTAATTTTTGTAATTTTAGTGGAGACAGGGTTTTGCCATGTTGGTCAGGGGGGTCTCGAACTCCTAACCTCGTGATCCACCCACCTTGGCCTCCCAAAGTGCTGGGATTACAAGCATGAGGCACCACACCTGGCCAGAGCTCTCATTTATATAAACAAAAGTGGGCCATCAGCTGAGGAGCAGCCCTAAAGCCAATGCACGATTCTGCTCTGTGATCACGGCATCCACACTGGCTGGCATTTGGACATTAGACATAGTGAACACACAGCCACTGCGGACCCTCAGTATGGTGGATTTTGTTCTTGGATTATCTTTACTTCTGATTCTTAGGGCAGTGTTTTGAGCTGTGGAGAGGTCTGGCTGAGTGAAGGGCTTTACTTGAGGACAGAATCACCCAGGCAAAAGGGCCCTGAAGAGAGTGCAGCTGAGAGGCCCTTTCAACACTGCTGAGTTCTGGAGCAGCCCCCAGCTTACTGGGGCACTGAGGGACAGGAGCATGACCGGAGGAGGCTGGTCCAGATCTCAGGAGGGCCCCCTGGCCCCCTGACTTGCATGATGGCATGTGTTTCCTTTTCCTGGGAGTACTTGAGGGCCTCATAGCCCGAGGACTCACAGGGTATGGTCAGGGCAATGAGCTCAGGTCTCCAAGATGCAGGGCCCTGGTGGGGCAGGGCAGAAAGTCTCCCCAACGGCAGAAGTTGGGATCACCTCTGCCTGTGAAACCCTCCACAGGAGGCCTGGAGCCAACTGTGCTCCCAGGAGAGGCCGATGGTCTCCTGGGTATTTAAGCCTTTGGCAGTGCATCCCTTTGGGCATGAGAACAGCTGGATAGAGATCTACTACTTAACGGAAACACTGCCTGAGCCCTTCAAAGCCTCCGGGGCTAAGAGTGACTGGTGCATCATGCTGAGCACAAAGTGCTCCCCAGACGCCGCCTCTGAGGGGCAACCCAGGGGTCTCTCTTCCAGAGGGGCAGAGTTCATGAGTTTGGAGCAGCTGACTTTTTAAAAAAATGCTTTATGTGACAGGTGAGGAAGAGTAGTGTTTCCTGTGGATGAAGTGAAGTTACTGAAGTGCTGAAGCTACAGGAAATCACTTCCATCGTAGATCACAGGCCGATCAACAGTCAAGTGATAAAATACCTTTTTAGAGACAAACCTAAGGAAACAGAAATGGAAAGGGAGGGCGTTACTTGAGAGCTGAAAGTCCAAGGGGCGGCAGCTGCTGCTGAGGCCTCTGTGGTCACTGCAATGACCTGGCTGTGTGAGTGCTGGAGCTCCGTGCCCCATTTTCTGTCTGTCTGGTGGAGTTCTCTCCCTGTGAGGGTCAGGGGGTCTCGGGACATTACCGTGGACTCTCCTGAGGCTTGGGTGCAGAAATGCTCTTTTGGTCGCAGGCTGTGAATGTCACCTCCCTCACCTGGCTGCTCTGAAGCAGCTAGAGGTGGGGACTGCACAGTGTGTGTACTGGGGTCTAAAGAGTAGGCAATGGGAGGAGGCATATGGCGGAGGCCAGCATAGATTTTTTCTGACTTGGCAGCTAACTCAGTTCTGACATCCATAGCTTGGAAATCTCAAGTAGGCCCCTGAGATGACCTCAGTGAGCCAAGGTCAGAGTTTGTCACAGCACCATGGCCAGCTCCAGGGGTAACTGGGAGCCTGCTTGGGCTTGGGATGGTACTCTGCCCTCCTCACACCTCTCCTCCATCTCTCCATCAATGCGCAATGTGGCTGCCACTGCAGAGGAGGAAATGGAGACTCAACTAAGGGCCACTGGGGGAAGTGTCCTCCAACTGGGGAACACTTGGGCCTGGTGTTCCCCAACCACTGCCCTATCCTGTTCAGGAGGGGCTGGAGTTCATGTCCACTCTTGGGGTGGGGGGTGGCTCCAAAGAGAGCTCTCTGGCCATGCTAGGCCTATGCCATGAGGTCCTGCTAACTCCAGGGGTGCTTTCATTTCTACTGCGGAGTGTAGGCAGGTGTAGGAGAGGGCAAGGTGGGAAGTTCATCTTCCATCCCCTCCTGTGGTGGGCACTCTTGGCCACAAGCCCTGGTAGTTCAAAGCCTGGAAGTGGTGAGGGGATGACACAGTTTTCCCTGGTTATTCTGCTGAGAGCCAAGTATCCACGATGGAGATGTGACCTGTAGCCCAGGGTCCTGCTCAGAGAGGATGTGGCTGGAAACAGCTCAGGCAGGTCTCTCTAAAGAGCCAGCTCCACTTAAGGGGTCTGCTGAAGCAGAAGACATAAACAGGGGCAGGTGCCCAGCAATCCTAACCACGCTTGTCCACGCACTTGGCAGATGCTCAGTTAATGTTGGTCCTCTCTCCGCTCCCCTCCCAGCTGTCCCTCTGGACTCATCACCCTCTATTCCCATTCTCCTGTCCAGCCTCTCTGCTATCCCCTAAACTATTCACTCCTGGATCTTAGCTGGTCCTCAGAGTGCTTCCCAGAGACGGCACCTGCCACTCCCACCACACAGCTAGGGTCTTCGCCGTGCCGTCTTAGGCAGTCTCTGCTTATCTCAAGCTCTGTCCTTCCTTCTTTCATTTCTCCCTTTCTCATTCATTCATTCATTCAGTCCTTCACTGTATTTCCTGAGCCCCTTCTTTGGGCAAGGCAGTGGCAGGGCAGCGGGAATTAACATCAGAGAGAGGGAAAGGGCACCTTGGTTATTAAAGTTTAGACTGGCTGGGCCACCTGGTTCAGATTCGGCTCCAGCCCTAGCTGTGTGACTTAGGAGTGTCACTCCTCTGCCCCTCAGCAGTGACATGGCGAGACTCTGCAAGCATGAGCCTGTGTGCAACAAAATCTCTTAACAAACACTGCAACGCCACGGGAGAGGGGTCAACAATCAAAGAATGATGAATAATAAGTCATCAACAAATAACTGGTTTTGAGTGTCCACCTCTGCTCTTAAGAAGAGGTGGCAGAGAGGCCTGGAGACATGGAGCTGGTGCCTGAGGTGGCCCTACCTTGAGAAGGTGTTGTCGAAGATGAGCATGTAGATACCAGGTGTGCGAACCTTGAGCTGGCCCTGGATGTTCTCCTTGTGGGAGTTGCATCGGGTCGTAGGAATGAGGACCTGGGAGGGAAAGCAGATATGCAAAAACATCAGAGGCTGAGAGGGCCCTTGGCATCCTCAGGGCAGACCCTTTATTTTGGGGGAGGAGGCTGAGTATGTTGCCCACGGTCACAGCCAAGCAAGGTTGGAGCTGGGACCAGCCCCCAGTAGTGGCCAGTGCCATCCCATACCCTGAGGCTGTTGATGACTCGTAGCTGTAAGTTTCATCCAGAATCATGACCTGGTCAGCACACTTAAGGAGTGATCCCCTAGCCTTGAACACAGAAGACGCTAGAACAGTCCATGGACTATAAAGGAGAGGCCCCTTTCTGGCTTCAGGATGTGAAGCTTAGTCTAGGTAAGATCCAGCTGTCTGGCTGTCTCCTGTTGGTCCTCGTGCTGCCTTTGGGTCTCACAGGACAGGCTCAGTCCTCCTTCCAGATGACAACCTTCCAGGCACGAAGCTGCTAGGCCCACTCTCCTCTAGGTTCAACACCCCTGGCTCCATCTAGGCCTCTGCTAGCTGTGCCCTGGCTGGTCCATGCGCCCCAGCACCCTTTCATCTTCCCACGCCTGAGCCTCAGCTTCCTGTTCACTTTCTGCCTTCCCTGAGAATGAGAAATCAGTCCCAGGATACACTGATACTGACTTTTTTTCAGATCATTTTTGAAGGGCCTCACTGTCAGAGAGAAAATCTGTACAAATGGTATGTGCTGGACAGGACCAGGGTTGGTGAGGGAGGTCTTCGAATGGCTCACTTCTTCCCCACGAGGGCAGGCTCTTCAATCTGCTTACAAGCTAAGATACAGGCCTCATTTTAAAACTGAAAATACAGCACTTTGGGAGGCCGAGGCGGGCGGATCACGAGGTCGAAAGATCGAGACCATCCTGGTCAACATGGTGAAACCCCGTCTCTACTAAAAATACAAAAAAACTAGCTGGGCATGGTGGTGCGTGCCTGTAATCCCAGCTACTTAGGAGGCTGAGGCAGGAGAACTGCCTGAGCCCAGGAGGCGGAGGTTGCGGTGAGCCGAGATCGCGCCATTGCACTCCAGCCTGGGTAACAAGAGTGAAACTCTGTCTCAAAAAAAAAAAATAAAATAAAACAAAAAAAAAACTGAAAATATGCTAAGAGATAAGGCAGAGCTGACCAACCAACCAACATTTTTTTTCCTTTTTTTTTGAGATGGTGTCTCACTTCCTTCATCTCTCTCTCTATCCCCTGTGGGGCCTACAGAGTCCAGCATACAGCAGACACTCAATAAATGGTTATCAATAGTTTACAAATACACAGCACGGTTCCTTGTGTCTATACCTCCATAATCATGAAGCCTGAGTGCTGCAATTTGCACTGCACCTGTCATTTCCTATAAGCCCCAGGCTGGTCAGGAGACCTCTCAGAGAGTCCCTGGGATAGATATTGAGGGCACATGTCTGGAAACAGGCTTCCCTGGCCTTGGTTCCTTTGGGGGACCTCAGGCAGAGATAACAGCCACCCCCATCTGTGGCTGGTGACAGTGGCCTGTGAAGGCAGAGAAGCACCTGAGCACCCTGCACAGGGGCCCCTTCTGCCCTCTGGCGTCACTGTGGGGAAGGGCAGTGGGGCCCCTGGAAGGTAAGGAAGGCTCAGTAGGCCCCCAAGCCCCTGTTTCCTGGTAGGCCCACACAGGAACCCCAGGCTGCTGAAGAATCGGTGGGTAGGTACCGAGCAAGGGGAGAGGCCCACAGCCCAGCCACACATGGGCAGGCAGAACCGCAAAGGCCTGGATCCCTGATTTTGTCCCTTCCCTCCCTGCACAAACACTCACAGTGTCTGATCTGGGTGGACTCAGGGCTGGGGGCATGGCAGGGCTGAGGAGCGTGAGGGTGAGAGGCAAAGGCAGCTCTTGGCAGTGCTGCTGTTTGTCAGTGTAGAGCTGATAGGCATGCTGGCTGCACCGGGACCTCCTGAATGGAGGCTCAGAATCGCTCAAGAAGGAAGGGCTCCGGAGGTAGGTATGGGGAGCTGGCTGTAAGTCCCAAAAGGATAAGATGGGCAGAGCAGTTTTAAATGAGAGAACACAAGACTCCAATAAGCAAGGCCAACCCAAGGGAGTCGAGTTACATTTTGAGAGTGAGTCTGAAAAGCAGAGAAATGACAAAAATGATCCTTGCTATGAGCAGATTCCAACAGGGCAGGATGGCAGGAGAGCAAACCCAAGCGGGTACGTGTTCCTCTGTGGGATGCCAGCACCAGAGAAGGAACTGCCGTGTGGCCCACTGTGCCTCCTAGCCGGGCTCTCCTGCTCTGGGCCTTCCTCATCCCTCAGCCTCAAGCCCCCTGAGGGCACCCAGTAGACCAAACACACAAGTGACTAACAGATGTTCTGCAAAGACTTCACAGATCTCTTGTTTCACATGACTTCAGCCTGCTTTTCTCTATCTTGATCCTTGCAATTCTTGCAAAATGGAGATTTCTGCAGTCATATTCCCAGGCTAGGCTTCCCTTTCAGCTCCAGTCCAGCAGGCCCAACCGCTTTTACCATTCCTTCCACTCAGAATAATTCAAGTGGAGCTTGTGTTTCCATCCAAACTGGCTGTCCTTCCAATATTCCTCTACACCCTTTCTCTGTAGGGATGCAGGCATGGAATTCAGACCCCAGGCATGGGCCTCACTCCTCCTTGCCTCGTACTGAATCAGCCACCCATGGAGCCCTGCCCAACCTCTGTCCCTGTGGTCTGGATTCCATCCTTTCTACTCTGGCTTCAACTCCCTAATCTACACCAGTGGTTCTCAACTTGGGCCACTCATTGGAATCACTTGGAGATGCCTGGATCCCACCCCTAGAGACTCCAACTTAGTGGTCAGGGTGTGGCCTCAGGAGTGGAGTGTTTAAAAGCTCTCTAGGTGTTTCTAATTTGCAGCCAAGGTTGAGAACTACAGTCCTGGCACTGTCAACATTCCATGCCTAGAATGTCTTAGGAATTTATGAATTGATACCTGCCACCAAGATTTCAAACTCGACCACCCAAGTGACACTGTGGTTGTCTCTGCTGATACCCTTCCAGGTGAGATGCTGAACACCCTAAGCTAAAAACCAGAGGAAGAGAGGTGGTGACCCATTACTGCTTTGCACAGTTCTGTTAGAAAATGATCCTTAAATTAAGTCATATGTCTGTACTCCTCCTTCACCTACCCGTCTATCCCAAGGGCAGACTACCTGTGTCTGACAGTGTGACCTTCAGACATTTGAAATCAGCTCTTCAGAACCTCTGGGTCTTTTTCTCCCCTAACTGGACAAGGCTCAGGTGCTCTACCTTCTCTGCATGACACGGCCCAGAACATACCAGGTGAGGCCTGCCCAGCAGAGGGTAGGATGGCCACTGCCCTGCTTTGGAACAGGCCTGCCCAAGTACCCAGATGTGTGAAGGAACCCACAGGCAGGGAGCCCAGCCATACCTTACACTCATCCAGCGGTGTGTCCTCGGCCTCCTGGAAGACCACGCTGAAGGAGATGCTCTTGGGGTCGGAGGAGAAGACCCAGCTGATGGTGAGGCCTGCCTCGGCCACAGTGATGGGGATCAGGCTGTAGGTGCTGGATCTCACAAACAGCTCCCTGCTGCCCTCCCCGAAGCTGGCGATCTCTTCCACTGTGAGGGGTACTTTGATCCTAAAATAAAAATACAGAGAAAGACCTGATTGACTGGGCAAAGTGTTTGTGTCCACTGGCCAGGTTGTCTGTGGCTCAGAGGTGGCTGGATCCTTCGGAGACTCTGGAGAGGACAAGCGCCGGGTAACCCTGGCCAACATGCTTAAGTATGGGACAGGCGGCTCACTCCAACAAACGTTTCCTGAGTGCTTACTACACGCCTGGCATAGTTCTAGGCACTGAGGACACAGCAGTAAAAAATAGAGATGACATCCTTGCCTGTGTGGAGCTGAAACCCCTTGGGAACTAAGGAATTGAGGATGGCCTGACCGGCTCCATGTCACTCGTGGACAGGAAGCGAGTGCCCAGGTGCAGCTTTCTGCTGCTCTCTTGAAGGTGCCCTGCTGCTCAGCTGTCTGCTTTCTCTCTGCCATTTCCTCTTCCAATTCCCTGCCTCACCCTTTTCACCTCATCAGCACAAGCCTCCCGCCCTTTAGATACAGTCCCTCTTCTCCGGTGCATCTCACATCCATTGTAAGATTACACATGGGCACCCTGACCTTGCCTCAAATGCCAACATCCCATACTCTTTATGATGCAGGGGTGGCGGAAGTGATGCAATGGTTTTGGGAAGAGAAGCTTGTTCTTACTCTCCCTGGGTAGATAAAAGCTTCTTCAACAAGTTTAGAGGGTTCACTGACAGTGAGCTCCTCTGTGCTGGACCCAGAGTATGACGTGAAGAATGCGAGGTGAGTGGCCAAACTGCATCCCTGCTGCAGGGTGTATCCTTTCATAAGCCTCAGTTTCCTCATCTGCCAAACAGGGACTACCAGGCCTGCCTCATGACTGCTGCAAGAACTAGATTACGAGATGAACCCGGCGAGCGTGCTCCTCAGGGCCCCTTCCAGGCTGAGTGGTACCCCTCCTACACTGGGCAACTCCCGAGGCAGCTAGGTGAGCTCACAATGAGTCAACTCACTCTGAGCCTCAGTTTCTCAATTGTGAAATGGGAAGGTGGCAGCCACCATAGGCCATGCCCTATGCTCAACAATTTCACGTGTTACTGCACTGGCTCCGTCAGGAAGGCATCACTGTTGCCACTCTACGAAAGAGGAAACTAAGATGCAAACAGATTAAGAAATTCAATCCAGGCTCACGCAGTCTGAGCCAAAGCCATCATCTTTCTACCATACCAACTGCCTTTCTAGAGAAAATGTATTACTGTCCCCTTTAACACACGGGCGGGAACTAAAGTTCAAAGAGGTTAGGGAACTCGCCCAAGACTGCACAGCAAGTGGTGGTGCTGAGGGCTCATCTGCCTCCAAAGCTGTGGAGATGAATGGACAGACTCCCAAAGCTAATGAGAAGGGCAAGAAACAATTTAAAAACCAGAATCTTTAAAGAACAGCTCCAATACTCACCTTTGTGAGAATTCAATTCAACACAGTATGTCTTTGTGTGTTAGGGTTTATTTCTGATTAAGACCTCTTGACCAGTATTTATAATTTTCAAGAATCTGAGGGCAGGTGCGGGGGTCCATTCTGGAAAAGACACCTTTCTCATAATGTGGAAGTCTTACCATATAACCACAAAAAAAGTCATTCACTTGATATCATGCCCCATTGATGCTAGAGCATTTTACAATTTTATGTTTCAGAATTTTCCCCTGGCACCCAGGTATTTGCATTGTGCCCCAATCATGCATTCTAGACATCATCTATTCAGTGACAAGGACAATACTCAGCCTCTCCAAAGGAGAGCTTAACAAAAACAAATCAAAGGTTTGCTCAAATATAATGTAATCTTAAGAAGCCTATTGTCTATAAGGCTTATGTCACAAATGTGAAAAGGATCTGCCTTGGATCTGTGTGTTCTAATTATTCCTTTTTTAAATTTCTTTTTCTTTTTTTTTGCTTACCAAAATCAGCTGGGATGTGTTCTAATTATTCTAAATATCCTAACTTTCCTCATCCCTTTACTTGAGGGCAGGTTTTAAAAAAAGTTTTATTATACATGATTTCAAACATCTCCCTGTTCCTTCCCATTAACTGCCACTAAAAAACCTGAAAATAATAATTCAGCAGTTGCAGTAAAAGTGAAGGGCAGGAGAAGGAAGGTGGAGTGACTAAGGACCCCCAGAACACGAGGAAAATCACAGCTTAGCGTCTCTGAGCCCCTCACCTACACATCACACGAAAACACTCATCCTATGAGCCAGGAAAAATCACAGCGTACATGAGGAAAGACAATCAACAGAAGCCGAGACTGACATTAATCAGATGCTGGAGCTATCTGTCAAGGCTTTTAAAGCAGCCATCATAAAATGCTTTAACAACAATTTTAAATGTTCTTGAAACAATAAAAAAAGTAGAAAAACCACACCAAAGAAACAGAAGATATAAAAAAGAACCAAATGGAAATTTTAGAACTAAATAATTATAATAACCAAAATAAAAAAAAATCACTGGACACTCAATAGCTGGATGAAGATATTCAAGTTATACTTGAAGAGAGAAAAACAGATATTTCTCAATCTGAACAACACAGGAAAAAGAGAATTGGGAGGCAGCATGCCAGGAAAAAGAACAGAGTCTCAGAGGCCTGCAAGACAAGGACGAAAGAGCTCACATTTGTATCGCTGGAGCCCCAAATGGAGAGGGAAAATACAGTGCATCTGAAAAATGATTCAAACTATTCAAAAATATTTTCCAAATATGGCAACAGGCATAAGCCTAGAGACTCAAGAGCTGAGTGTACCGCAAATAGGAAAAACACAAAGAAATTCACGCCAAGCCCCATCATAATTAAGCTTCTAAGAACCAAAGACAAAGAACATACGTGTGCATGTGTCTTTATAATAGAATGATTTATAATCCTTTGTGTTTATATCCAGCAATGGGATTGCCGGGTCAAATGGTATTTCTATTTCTAGATCCTGAGGAATCGCCACAGTCTTCCACAATGGTTGAACTAATTTACACTCCTACCAACAGCGTAAAAGCATTCCTATTTCTCCACATCCTCTCCAGCATCTGTTGTCTCCTGATTTTTTAATGATCGCCATTTTAACTGGCATGAGATGGTGTCTCAATGCAGTTTCAATTTGCCTTTCTCTAATGACCAGTGATGATGAGCATTTTTTCGTATGTTTGTTGACTACATAAATGTCTTCTTTTGAGAAGTATCTGTTCATATCCTTCACCCACTTTTTGATGAGGTTTTTTTCTTGTAGATTTATTTAAGTTCTTTGTAGATTCTAGATATTAGCCCTTTGTCAGATGGGTAGAGAGCAAATTTTTTTTCCCATCCTGTTGGTTGCCAGTTCACTCTAATGATAGTTTCTTTTGCTGTGCAAAAGTTCTTTAGTTTAATTAGATCCCATTTGTCTATTTTAACTTTCGTTGCCATTGCTTTCGGTGTTTTAGTCATGAACTCTTTGCCCAAATGTCCTTTGCAGGGACATGGATAAAGCTGGAAACCATCATTCTCAGCAAACTGACATAGGAACAGAAAACCAAACACCGCATGTTCTCACTCATAAGTGAGTGTTGAACAATGAGAACACGTGGACACAGGGAGGGGAACATCACACACTGGGGCCTGTCAGGGAGTGGGGAGCTAGCGGAGGCTTGGAAGGGAGTGAGGAGTTAGGATAGCATTAGGAGAAATACTTAATGTAGATGATGGGGTGATGGATGCAGCAAACCACCATGGCATGTGTATACCTATGTAACAAACCTGCACATTCTGCACAGGTATCCCAGAACTGAAAGTATAATAAAAGAATAAAAAATTAAAAAGTGAAAAAAAAAAAATTTAAAAAGATAAAGAAACAACTTGAATGCAGGTAGAGAGAAATAACATTATCTATGGGGGAATAGCAATTTGAATGACAGGGGACTTCTCATTTAAAACCATGGAGGCCAGTAGCAGTACACGTATTTCAAATACTGAAAGAAAAGAACTGTCAACTGTGAATTCTGTATCTGGCAAAACATTCTATAGACATTTTGCCAAATCCAGCAGTGTGTGAAAAGAATTATACACCACAGCCAGTGGGATTTACCCCAGGTACGCAGGCTGGTTCGATATTTGAAAGTCAATCAATGCAATCCATCATATCAACAAGCTAAGGAAGAAAAAGCCTATGATCTTATCAACTGACACAGAAAAAAAATCTGACAAAATTCAACAGCCATTCACAGCCATGCAAGTTCTCTTTTACTATTTCTAATTGTCATTGCTGTGAGTAGCATGCAACGGACATTTTGGTAGCTTTCTCTTTGCACATCTAGTCATTATTTCCCAGACGTAGGCTTATTGCATCATAGAGAAAATGCAATTCTTGAACTTTTGGTACATCCTGCAGCCAAGGTGCTCTCCAGAAAGGGTGGTCCTGACTTCATACTCCCAGCATCAATGGCTTGTGAGGGGGCTACTTAATTCTTCCTGCTCGGTCTACCCCATAATTCAACATAGTGTCTGTCTGAGTGTGGTCCAGGGTCACCTGAGAATTGCTGGAATGGGTTATCTGTTCTCTCACAACCACATCTAACCCTTCAGGAAATTCTGTCGGCACCACCTTCAAAATAGGCCCAGAATTTGCCCTTGTCCTCTTTGCAAACACTTGATCCAAGGAACAAGGATTCCTCTAATACCCTCCCAACTGTTCTCCCCTCTTCTGCTCTTGCCCCTCCATCATCTATTCTCCACCATGGCAACCAGAATGATCCTTTTCATATGTAAATTGGATTGAATCACTCTTAATGCTACAAACCTCATGGGGCGGGGGGGGGGGGGGGGGTGGGGGGGTGGGGTGGTGGGGTGGGGGGTGGGGGAGGAGATCCTATTTCCCTCAGATTCAAAGTCAAAGTCCTTACAATGGCCAAGAAGGCCCTGTGTGCTGGGACCCTCATTCCCACTCTGACTCCGCCTCCTGGTTCTCTCTGCTGCAGGCACACTGGCCCTTTTCTCAGTCCCTGAACATGCCAGGCACCATCTCAGGGCCGTTGTGCTGCCTGTTCCCTCTGCCTGAAATGCTATTCCCTCAGATATATGTCTGGCAACTCCTTCACCTCCTTCAAGTCTTATCTTCTCAGTATCACTCTGTTTAAAATGGCAAATTCCCCTTCCCTGTTATCCTACTTTGCCTTTGTCCATAGCAAGCACCACCCTGTAACATTGATACAATATTGACTTACTTAATTATATGTACAGTTTATCGTCTGTCAACCCTTGCTGGAATGTAAGCTTGATGAGGGTTAGGGGTGGGTCTTTGTTGCTTTTGTTTACTGACATACTCTAAGCACTTAAAACAGTACCTGGCACATCATAGCTAATGAATAAATATCTGTGAATGAATGATTGAATCTATTCAATGACAATTACGCAGCCAGTGGACATAACACTAGAGAACTCGATCATAGGGAAAAATACTCATGCCATAGCAAATTTTAAGAGACTACAAAATAAGATTTAGAATATTTGTTTGTGTTAAAAATCATATGTATGTATGTATATATAAAAAAGACTAGAAGGCTATATACCAAAATGTTTTGCTTATCTCTATTTTCCTAATTTTTTTACAATGAAAGTGTTTTGCTCATACAATAAGAAAATTAACAAAGTTATTTTGAGAAAAGAACATGGGGTGTGGGAGGAATAATTATAAAGGGGCACGGGGAACTTTCCAGGGTGAGGGAACTGTTCTATATCTTAACTGTGGTAGTGATTACACTGCATCATTCATCAAAATTCAGGCACTGTATACTTGCTTGAATCTTAATGTATATAAGCTATACCTGAAGAAAAGAAAGAAACTGAAGCCCCACTGGTTCCAAGTCAGAGCCCCCGGGGCGGTCCCCAATGCTGGCACTGGAGAGGCCAGTGGTCCTCCAACGCCAAACCTGGGAGGGCCCAGGCAGCAGCTGCCACTTACATTAGTTCTCCAGACTTCAGCAGGCAGATTTCCGCATCCTGCCCCACGGGCATGTCTTCAGTGTCCTCAGGCGTTAGCGAGGTTGATGTAGTGTCCCTGAAATGCCACAAATGAGAACACAGGCATTTAGCTATCAACATACAGGGTCTCACATCCTGGGTCCACAGTCTTGGAGTCATGTAGCCAAATCCAGATGCATGGAGCATCCTTTAATTGCAGAGGCCGTGACAGAGGCCCCAGCAGATTTTGTGAGTAGAGGGAGGGCCGCAGGGGCCAGGGCCAAGCAAGCGGACAGGGAGAAGACAATAGGGCTACAGCAGTTTCCCTGGAGCAGCTGTAGGGAAGAGACCTCCTGCTATAGAGGGTGAGTGGAAACACAAATCGGCCACTCTCCTAGCCCACGCCAGCAGAGCTATTGCCACGGGGCCAAGGTACCAGCACCAACGGGTCCTGCCTTCTCAGTGCATGACTAGAGAAGCCTCTGGCCCATCCCTGAGGCACAAGAACAGTCACCCAGGGGAGGTTTTGAACACCGTCTCAATTACTGATCCTTAGAACATATTGGCAGATTGCAGTCCCTGCACTTCACTGATAGGGACACAGAGGCCCAGGCAGTTCCTCAGAGGCAAGGCTGGAGCCAGAACTAGACCCTGACAGCAACTTAGTGCTCTCCCTGTGGGACCCTAGGCTTAGCTCAGCCCGGGGCTTATACAATCTCAGGTGCCTCAGAGCCCAACCAGCTCCACCCCCCAGTTCTGACAAAGAGGAAACCTAGTTCCAAAACAAAGGCTTGCCCTCCTGTGCCGGCATCAATGAGGAAGATCTCCCACTCAATGTGGCTTCCTTTCAAAATGCCGAAACAATCCGTGTTCTTCCAGGGGCCGAATGCCACCAGCCCTGAGCAGTGGGGGGGCTCCGTCTAGCTGGAGGTCTCTGTGGCCCCTGAGGGCAGGGAAGGTGGTATGACTGTGGAGGGGTCCATCATGGTTTCAGCTTCAGCACTGTGACTAACTGTGTGACTCACGGTGAGCACTTGCCTCCTGAGACCCCAGTTTCCCTTCTCTAAATGGAAGGGGATGGAACTGGATGGCCTCCGGGTTCTGATGGCTTGAAAAGGCTGTACGTTTTAAAGGACTCAGAGGTAGCATGGTATGGAGCCCACTGACTGAGAAAGAGGTGGGCTTGCTCTGGTAAGCAGCTTCCTGCCGGCAGCTCCCGTGCTCTTCTCAGGGAAGGTGCAGGAAGAACGTGGGCTGCAGCACGTGCTGCCACCGGGGGCATGCTTTGTCTTTTTCTACCTGGCCCCAGCCCCCTCTCTGTCCTCCTCGTTGCCTAACACCTCCTTCTTTTTGCTTTTCCAGCTACTGGTTTCCAGGTCCCCACCCTCACCCTGGGACGAACAGAAACAGGGAACATCAGTGCAAGAAGCTGCTCAAGGAGCCCGCTCGTGCAACCACCCACTCGATAACAGGGAAGCAGCGGTCCACAGCAGACAGGCCAGGGTCACTCAGGCCTGCTTTCATCCTTGTAAATACCATAAACGAGATAAAGAAATAATGTAGGATGAGAGAGGCTCTGAAAGCTGTAGTTGGTTCTCCCAATTTTCCTGCATTCAGGATAAAAGATATCCTAACACAGGATCCTCTCTCTTCATCCATCACTCTCCTCCCTGACCACAATGACTCACAGACAAGCGGATGATTCACAGAGCAGGTCTCCTAGACCTTTGCTGGCCCTGGCAGATACGTTACATGAGTGACGTGGGAGTGAGATGGGTGGGTGATGCAGTCTCAAAGGTAACAATTAGGGCAGAAGGCTTTCTTCTCAATAGGGTTTCAAACTGCAGGTCATTATCCATTTATTGGACCATGAATCAATTTAGTAGATTATGACCAACACTTAGAATAAAATAGAAAATACAATAGTATATTGCATGTTACGAGGGTAAGTACTTATGAGGCTTGTTTTGACCGTATATGTACACACATGTACACTAGGTAGCCATGTAAGATGTATTTCTTACTGTGGGATGCCCTAGAAAATGTTCCAGCAACTCAGAGAATGCCAAGGGATGTAGGCGCTTGAGAAGGATGGCAACGGAAGCATGATCACTAGAGGGCACCCCAGCTCCTACTAGAGCTGCTTCCTTTCCTTGCTACTGAGGCAGAATCAGCAAAGATAACAGATCCTCACCGCCCACACAGCCTTCCTCCTCCCCTCGCTCTGGTCATGGCAGCCTACTGCTAGCTTGGTTGATGATGGCATGCCACCCTTTCCTTCTCAGTTTCTGCCAGGAGCCTGTGGTCAGTGGAGCTGAATATCTCTCGAGCACATATTCCAGTCTGTCAACTTGTCTGTCCCTCTGTGGGTTTCACCCTGGTACGCCCGGGCAGCTTGCTGTGCACACGGCCCACGCCCAGTGAATGTCTACATTATTTGTCTCAGAGTAAGGTTTTCTTCTGTCCCAAATGCTCTCGAAGGAGGACATACCCAAGGCGTCCGCATTAGGAGCGAGTCAGGATAAAGTATTGAGCACAAACCAGGCAGTCCCGGGCACGGCAGTCCTAGAGTCCACACCCCTCTGCGTGAGTCACGGTGGAGCCCCTCCAGCTTGGTCTCTACAAAGGGAGTCTACAGTCCTTCCCTGTCACAGATCAAATGGCCTCAGCCTGCTTGTTACATAATTACCACACAACTTCAATCCTGCAGACTGCCTGCGGTACAGATCTTCTGCTTGTTTAGAAACTAGCAGAGGGAGGAACGGATGCCTGGAAAACCCCTACGGCCCAAGGTGCCTTGCTGCCAAACTTCCCCAGAGGGCGCCATCTCCCCTCAGCCTCGCTAGGCCAGGCAGAGTGAGAAGTGTTGCTTCTTCTGATTACATGGGCTCCTCTTGTCCCTCTGGTCAGTTTCCATCTGTGAACAGTCTCCCGTGAAGTGGAGGTGACTTCAGGTTAGAACTGTACTCTTCAGTACAATAGCTGCTAGCCATATGTGGCTATATAAACTTAAATTCATATTAAACTAAACATTTGCCGGGCGTGGTGGCTCAAGCCTGTAATCCCAGCACTTTGGGAGGCCGAGGCGGGCGGATCACGAGGTCAAGAGATCGAGACCATCCTGGTCAACATGGTGAAACTCCGTCTCTACTAAAAATACAAAACATTAGCTGGGCATGGTGGCGCGTGCCTGTAATCCCAGCTACTCAGGAGGTTGAGGCAGGAGAATTGCCTGAACTCAGGAGGCGGAGGTTGTGGTGAGCCGAGATCACGCCATTGCACTCCAGCCTGGGTAACAAGAGCGAAACTCCGTCTCAAAAAAAAAAAAAAAAAACTAAACATTTGGCTCCTTGGTTACAGTAGCCACATTTCAAGTGCTCAGTTATCACCTGGACTGGTGGCCACTGTGGTCATTGCAGGTACAGCACAGGCCTCTCACAGCAGAAGGCTCCACTGACCAGAGGTTTGGAAGGTTGGGCTGAACCACACCACACACATCACATTCACTCTGTGATCTGGGGGCATCTTTTAATTTTGCTACTGATTTATTATTATTATTGTATTAACTTGGTTTTACTTTGCTAATCCATTGCTTATAAATTCCTAGTGTTAAGAGTAGGTAGCTAGGCAGACATGAGCAGGGCCAAGAGAGGGCCTCCCTCCCCCAGGAATGTCAGGCGACCATCAAGCAATGGTTGGGAAATTGTTAAACTGACTCTCTAAAATAACTGGTTGCAGCCAGAGCCAGAGAAAGAGTCTTCCAATAGATAGAAAACATCTGAAGCTAGTAACCAGCAGCTTCCTGGTAAGATCTCAGGAGCTGGGCGGGTGGGCACAAGCATGATCCCTAACAGGCAAAATGGCAGAGTTTAACCGGTCCTCTAGAAACATTCGACAGATAAGGGAAAAGCACCTCCGGTGAGCATGCATATAACTCCAGTAAACATACTGAGCATGCGGCCCCTAGTGCTGGCAAGCCATCACGCTTGCGGACAGCTTGCTCCAAGGGAAGGGTCAAGGGAGAAGAAACACAAAGCCTGGAACCACGCCAGTGTACGGGAACCTCAAATCAAGGGCTGGATGGGGCACTTGGATCTCTCAGGTCACCTGCTTGGCCCTCTTCCAAGTATACTTTACTTCCATTTGTTCCTGCTCTAAAACTTGCCCTAGTCTCTCCCTCTGCCTTAAACCTACTTTCGCCCCAAAATTCTTTCCTCCAAGGAGGCAAGACTCAAGATGCTGCAGACCCACATGGATTTGCTGCTGCTAATATACTTTGGTGCCCGTGACTCAGATACATAATTCCTAGTGGTAGGACACTTCTACACCTCACCTTCTTCCGCTGGATGTAGTTAACCTCTACACGCGGATTCCTTCTCCAGCTCTCCTGCTTATTAACAACCCCCAGAACAATACCTCTCAGCCTTAGTAGCTCTGCTCCCACCAGAGCAGTAAATGTCTCATCTGAATCCTGGAACAGATAACTTAGCAGCTCTGCAATGTTCGGGAAAGGAGAGCAGGCCAACAACCTGACCTCCAAGATAAATCTGCAGCAGGTATGTCTGCACTTCCCTTTTACTCTTCCCCCAAGTTTATTTAGAAGATGTTTAGGTACTTCTGGGGAAATCTAAGACACATACGATTGGGTACCCACCCTTAAGAAGTTTAAAGTTTTGTTTCAAATAAAAGTAATGCTCTTTAGACAATTAACACTACAAACTGGCAGACAATAAAAGGCATTTTGTAAAGTAAACAAAAGACATTTTGTAAAACAAAATTTTAGCCCCAAACCTGTGAGTAGCTCAGCTCCTCAAATTTAGTTGCAAGTCTTTTGTACTACAGAGAAGTTTCCATTAAAGAATGGCCATGATAAACAAGCCATGCTTTCTCAAATATGCATATTTCCATATTAACACATATACATAGTCATGGAGGGCTCTAGGTGCCAGCCTGTTTTCCCCAGGGAGTAGAAAGGCTTGCCAAGAATAGCATGGCCAACGGTGTCTGACGAGGCTCAGGCCATTCTAATACTGTCTATGGACCTGTCTTGAATGGCATGGTTGACTTGTACCTAGGTAAAACTCAGCCCTCAAAGCAGGAGTCCCCAGACTATGGCCCGTGGGCCGCATGCGGCCCCCTGAGGCCATTTATCCGGCCCCCCGCCGCACTTCAGGAAGGGGCACCTCTTTCATTGGTGGTCAGTGAGAGGAGCACAGTATGTGGCAGCCCTCCAACGGTCTCAGGGACAGTGAACTGGCCCCCTGTGTAAAAAGTTTGGGGACGCCTGCCTCAAAGCTTAAAGATTCCTAAATATTAGGCAGGGTTACTTTAAATTGCCATCCTGCCTTGAAAGGTCTCTTTCAGAAAGACAGGGGTCTATTTGGCTCAGTCTATTCCTTTTTTCGTTCATTCACCACTCCCTGCATCCACCTGTCCATTGGTATGCAGTCTACGCAGCCTCATGGTTCATGCCCATAAGGAACACCTCACTCATTTGTACCAGTTTGGTAGAAAGGATAGTCTGAACTAATTCACTCAGAAAATGCCTGCAAACCTACTAGAGGTCTTCAGATCTGTTATCACAGCTCCATACACAGAGCAGAACAGGAAGCATTGGCTGTGCAGCCAGAGTCCTGGGTGACGGCTGGGGATGTGTGTTCTTGGGCAGTGGGCTAATCTCTCTAATCTTCTGTCTATCTGTAAGTGATTAGGATTAGATGGCTGTACACAGAAGCATCCAGCATAGGGCCAAGCTTGCAGTAGAACTGAGTGTTAGTCTCTGGATCCTGAGGCTGCTCCTGGTCCCTGCTCCCAATACTTGACATTTGCCCTTATGAAGAGCCACATGAGAAGGTCCGCCTAGCAGGTGGTAGAGAGAGCAACAGCACTGGGGAGAAGCAGCCTGAATGGCAGTGCACAGTCAGAGAAGGGAGGCCAGGCACCTCCACAAGAGGTCAGCTGCTTCTGGGAAAGCAGACATGCCTCCAATTCCTGCCTTCCAGTGTTATTTCCCAGAAGGGTCAGTAACGTTAGATCATGGAGGCTGACAGCTAGAACTGTGCTGAGATAAAAGTTGTCAACATCTGGGGAATTCCAGGAGTAGAAAGGGCAGACCAAGGAAACCAGATGATTCCAGCCAGGCTAGGCAGAGTGGGTGGGCACTGCCTGCTGAGGGGCCTGAGTGGTGTGGGCTTAGGAGGTGGGGCTGCACCAGGACTTCTGGCAGACCCATCGTCATCCTGTTCATTGGTCTGGTAATGACACAGACCTAAGTGTGTATCTTCAATTTGCCAGTTTCTAGCTGTGTGGACTGGGGGCTGTTATTTTGGCTATGGTCCTCAGTGTTCTCACCTATAAAAGAGGGAAAATATCCACTGCAGGGCTGCTATGGGGCAAAACCGCCATCACATATGCTGGAGCTGCATGTGCACACAGAACCCAGCCATGGACTCAGCACTGGCCCAGACCTCAACTGTTTCAAAAAGACGTCTGACTCATGAATGAAGTAATTTTAAGGTAACAATGCTACCATCTTCAGTGGATGGCCAGAGCCAAACTTCCTTATTGTTCCCCTTTAGTTTAAAAATAAAACCCCCCAGCCGGGCGCGGTGGCTCAAGCCTGTAATCCCAGCACTTTGGGAGGCCGAGGCGGGTGGATCACGAGGTCGAGAGATCGAGACCATCCTGGTCAACATGGTGAAACCCCGTCCCCACTAAAGATACAAAAAATTAGCTGGGCATGGTGGCACGTGCCTGTAATCCCAGCTACTCAGGAGGCTGAGGCAGGAGAATTGCCTGAGCCCAGGAGGCGGAGGCTGCAGTGAGCCGAGATCGCGCCATTGCACTCCAGCCTGGGTAACAAGAGCAGCGAAACTCCGTCTCAAAAAAAAAAAAATTAAAAAAAAAATAAAACCCCTGTCATGCTCTGACAGAAGAATCAGCCCCGAGGCAGAACGAAGGGGGTATGGGGTATCAGAGTCACCCATCCATCTCTGACTGATCCATGCATTACACAGGGGAGGGCTGGTCATGTGGATTCACAACTAAAGGACGGGAGTAGGGATGGGTCTCGTATATAACCAGCTGAGGGCTCTTAAAAAAGGTTCAGCGGAAACATGAACCACATCACAGAAGTAGAGGCAGACCTTGCTTCGTGAGCAAGCTCATCTCTGGAACAAACCGACCAAGCATTTCTGCCGGTGAGTCATTTGTCTTACACTTTATACTTAAAAGAAGACGGGGAGGACTAACTCCAGGTATTGTTGGTATTCTCAGATTCCTGTCTGTAGTGGGGCACAGTGTAAAATGCCAGGCTATGGAGCTCAACCGCTTTTAGTTCAAATTCCATCACTGCCATTTGCTACCGTATGGGTTAAACTGGAGAAACATGAAAAACAGCGATCATGTTTCTGGGCACACAGTTAGTGCCTGTAGGCTGATGGTACTGCTAGAAATGGCATAGTCAGATACACCTGGGGAGATAAGGAGACTCTAGTTAGTGTCTATATTTGCTCAATGAATAATTTCTGTTTTCATTTCTTTTGCCTAAGGCTGTTTTCTCAGATTATCATTTATGTTCTTTTTTCATTATAAATCAATGTACTACTGTAGAAACTTTGGGAACTATTAAAAAAAGAAGGAAGAAATAGGTCATCCATAACTCCCTCAGTTGAAGGCCAAATGCTAATAAAATGCGATTATTTTTTCCAGGTTTTTAAAAGTACAGTCAAAATCATAGAGTTTATCATGAACTCTTAAATGAGTTCAGAATACATGGCAGAGGGATTCAAGGGGTTCATGGACTCCCAGAATTGCAGAGGGGCGTGTGTGTGTGTGTGTGTGTATGTGTGTGTGTGTGTGTGCGTGTGTGTGTGCATGCGCATGCGTGCGCATTATTTCTGAGAAAAGGTCTGCAGTTTTTAAGAGATTCTCAAAGGAGTTTATGATTAAAAAAAGGTTAAGAATCACAATTTTATATGGTTTTTGACATCTATTTGTTGTAACAGTAATAGCTAATACTTTGCATATTTGCTTTGTGTTTACACTGTTTTTAGCAATTTAACTGTATTACATTTCCCAAAATCGTTAAAAATACTTCCTAAACATTGAAGTCATATTTTATGTCTGAATTATAATTTGCTTCATCATTTATTATCAGACTTTTACACTATTTCCAAAGTTGTATATGTATTTTTTTAATTTGCAGAAATCAAAATAGGATTACAGAAGAGAAATAAATGAATGTTTAATTTGGCCTCTTCTAGAAGGGAAAGTAATTTTTAATACTCTATTTGCACAGCACTGTCCAGGCCCAATCTGTTTACCAATTACTACACAACAAAGTTTACCAATTCTTACACATGAATTTGCACCGGTCCTTTGAGGAAATATGTAATAGCAGCATAAGGGAGCAGAAAAGCTTGAACAGGAAGATATCAAAAAAAGGCAAGAGCAAGTCAAGCAATAATGGGGAGCTGGACGTTATTCTTAAGAGTAAAGCCACCTGTTTCATATTTTAAAGGATGAAAATCTATGTTTTTGCCTGTGTGAATCAATAACACATAAACATTATCTTACCTACTCAATACAGTACCCCAGAAAGCTTGTGGGGGGCAGGATGTCTACTGGCTGACTTATCTCCCTTAGAGATCTAACAACTGTGGTCGAAGGGCAAGGATTATTTATTAAGCAGTCTTAGCCCAAAGGCAGCATCCTTCCTTGCTAGAGAGAAAGGGCACTCTGGCCCCTGGAAAGACAGAGGCAAGCAGCAGCATCAGAGACACTGCTCCCAGTTCGGACTCAACGTCAGGGACAGAAGTGTTTCTGAGTGGATTAGGAGAGGTAACCTCATTGTTTATATGTCCTTGTCTGGTCAGGCAATATTCTGACTTTGCTAAACTTGGCAGAGATTCTATCCAAACACCTGCTCTTCTTCATACACCTTCTTGAGGTGCTGGCCAGACATGGCTCCAGGTCACTGGAAATGAGCTGCTGCATGTTGAATATCTGCAGGTCAGTAGCAAGGGCAGGCCTGGCACTCACGGGCTGATGTTACTGCAGCTGCTCCTGCTCCCACACCATAGGTTACATGACCCCTTGTCCTGTCCGTGGTCTCTGGCAGGGTCACAGGGCAGAGGGAAGAGTCAGAGAGAAGTGACATCCCTGGGTAAGAAATGCAGCCCATCTGGTACCCATTTCAATTGGGTCTTCTGCTTGTTAAAGGAGGCCCCTGACTCCTCCAGGCATCCCCAAACTATGGCCCGTGGGCCCCCTGAGGCCATTTATCCGGCCCCCCGCCGCACTTCAGGAAGAGGCACCTCTTTCATTGGTGGTCAGTGAGAGGAGCACAATATGTGGCGGCCCTCCAACGGTCTGAGGGACAGTGAACTGGGCCCCTGTGTAAAAAGTTTGGGGACGCCTGTCCTAAGCTGTCAATCACAGACGCTAAGACAAGGTTCCCCTTTGGGGAAATCTACCTTTTTAAGAGACTTCTTGCTCAGAAGTCTTCAGGAAATGAGGCTCTGATGGTGGAATGCCACAAACTGTGTTAGATGATGAAGGGGAAAGTTTATTTGGGAAGTGAGGAGAACTGCCCAACGCTTTATCCATGAAGCCAGCTCACCAAAGTGCTGGGTAGCCATGGGCTTTTCTGTGCCTTGTTTCCCCATTAGTAGCCTTTGAAAATCTATGCAATTGAGGGGAAGTAAGGGCAGGAAGGACTGCCTACCCAAGCAGAGCAGTCTTGTCATCCCCAAACACCTGTGGTCTCCAGGAGTCTCCTTGATAGTAGAGCCCCCTGGTAGGGGCACTGGCTTTAGCTTTCACAGTTTACTAGGAAATGGGGCTCAGGATGGGTAACTGTGGTGAGGCAGGGGGAGATGAAAACAGGCGCTTCCCATTGATGAGCTCAGATTATCAGTGGGCTCAACCATCCATTCTCATGCTGCTCTTCCAAAGAGCGCTGTGCCCACCTGGCAGCACGGCGACTTTTGCTCTCAAAACACTTGAGCACAGGATTTTATGGAATGTACGTAGGGGTCAGTTATGAGTTGTCTCCTGGATGGGTGAGATCCTGAGAATTTTCAGGCTAATGGAGAGTCCTTGTCCTGCCTGAGCAATTTCCCCTCAGAATTGGCTATTTTCAATATTGTTGCTGTGTTGTTCCTACATATCCCAGTGGGTTGGTTCAGGAGACAGCTATTTCCCCTCTAAATGTGGTCAGTGGGACAGCAGAAAGACAGAGAATGGCATCCTCAGCCCCAAATATAATTCCTGGGTTCTTACTCATAGGTGTTCATTAGAACAGACACCATGGCAGAGTACAATTACGAAGACTTCAACAGTTCCTTTGAGAGCAGCCGGGAGGAGCATGAACACTTCCTGCAGTTCAAGAAGGTCTTTCTGCCCTGCACATACCTGGTGGTGTTCATCTGCGGTCTGGTAGGGAACTCCCTCGTGCTGGTCATATCCATCTTCTACCATAAGCTGCAGAGCCTGACGGATGTGTTCCTGGTGAACCTGCCCCTGGCTGACCTGGTGTTTGTCTGCACCCTGCCCTTCTGGGCCTATGCAGGCATCCGTGAGTGGGTCTTCGGCAAGGCCATGTGCAAGACCCTACTGGGCATCTACACTATAAACTTCTACACGTCCATGCTCATTCTCACCTGCATCACTGTGGATCGTTTCACTGCAGTGGTTAAGGCCACAAAGGCCTACAACCAGCAAGCCAAGAGGATGACCTGGGGCAAGGTCACCTCCCTGCTCATCTGGGTGATATCCCTGCTGGTTTCCTTGCCCCAAATCATCTATGGCAATGTCTTTGATCTCGACAAGCTCATATGTGGTTACCATAATGAGGAGATTTCCACTGTGGTTCTTGCCACCCAGATGACACTGGGGTTCTTCCTGCCACTGCTCGCCATGATTGTCTGCTATTCAGTCATAATCAAAACGCTGCTTCATGCTCGAGGCTTCCAGAAGCACAGATCTCTAAAGATCATCTTCCTGGTGATGGCTGTGTTCCTGGTGACCCAGACGCCCTTCAACCTTGTGAAGCTCATCCGCAGCACACACTGGGAGTATGATGCCATGACCAGCTTTCAGTACGCCATCGTAGTGACAGAGGCGATCGCATACCTGCGTGCCTGCCTTAACCCTGTGCTCTACGCCTTTGTCAGCCTGAAGTTTCGGAAGAACTTCTGGAAACTTGTGAAGGACATTGGCTGCCTCCCTTACCTCGGGGTCTCACATCAATGGAAGTCTTCTGAGGACAATTCTAAGACTTGTTCTGCCTCCCACTATGTGGAGGCCACCGGCGTGTTCCAGCTATAGGCCTTGTCAAGGTTTTGAATAGCTGCTCTGGAATTGGTAAGGCATGGCTGCGTCCTCTGGATTGGTGAGGCAGGCTGTTTACAGCTTGCACCTTCTCATGGAGAAGTTATCAGACACTGGCCAGTTTGGAATGCTTCCTCTCAAGTGTGAATATGTACTGTTCTCTTCTTGAACACTCATGCTGAAAGCACAAGTAGGGGGCCTAAAAGTTTTAAGCACTTTCCTTCCTCTATCCCCAAGAATGCTGAAACAAAGAGGGATGACACGCGACTCCTATGCTGTTAGGTTCTCCTTGATTGGCACTGGGGCTGAAGGTTGAGGAGGTGAGCACAGCCAACAAGGCTGTTGATGGTAGGTGGCACGGTGGGTGCCCAAGCTCAGAAGGCTCTTCTGACTACTGGGCAAACAGTGGAGGTAAAAGCAGCTGTGGAAACAAATGCTGGCTTAGCAGGCTCACACCTCAACCACTAGGGCACCGAACAGAAATAAGATCAGGTCCTGCCTCACTTTGGGGTTTGACTTTTGTATAGGTAGATGTTCAGGTTGCTTTGATTAATCCAGAATAACTAGCACCAGGGGCTATGAATGGGCAAAACCAGGAATGGCCCTTACCTGCCACTCTTTGGAGTAGATGTCAATTTTCCAACAATGGGCAAAACGAATTATAATAGGCTGAGAATTCAAGTGGTCCATGGAATGCTTGAAAAATGTGCAAAACAGTGTTTAAGACTGTAATGAATCTAAGCAGCATTTCTGAAGTGGACCCTTTGGTGGCTTTGCTCATTTAAAAATGAAATTTTCCAATGTCTGCCATGCCAACATATATAAATGTATATACACACATTATGTTACATATTAATAGCATATGAGTTTCATAACTAAGAAATAAAACTTTTAAAGTCTCCAAACTTTCATACTTCGGTACATTCTGTTTTAATGTGGTATGCCTGGAATATACCAAAAAGTTACCTTTAGGCTCAGAACATGGGAAGTAAGTTGCAAACTTTCAGGGCGGTGTTCTATCAAGGAAATGGAATATACCAATGACAATGCCCCTGCTCTTTCACTGTGGTTTCTAACCTCCTGTCCAAAGTGTGGGCAGATTTGTTTAACTTCTAGAACATGGTCACAGGATGAGGCACAGTTTCAAATGTCAGGTTTTATGCATGTTTATTAAATCCTGGCTATCTGTTCAATAGGCTTAAGGATGTTTTTGGGCTTATGTATCCCAAAATATGGAGAACCAACTGACAACAGCTAAGAAGACTGCACAGAGAGACAGGCCGGAACTGACTTAACGGTGTGATTTTGGGGGTTGGATAGACCACAGTTGAATCCCTGCCACTCACCAGTTAGTAAGACCTTGGGCAAATCTCTTAGCCTCCGGGCACCTGTTTCCTTTCTTTTTAGTGAAACATGGATCATAACAGCACCCACCTCTACGGGTTGGTGTGAATACTTGAGACACTGCATGTGAAACACTTGGCACAGTTTGCATTTGTGGAGAAAATGTCCAAAAAATACCAGTAATTATTATTTCTTACAAGAACTGGTGACACAAAATGGAAGCCCTCCACATCAGCCCATGGGTTAGCAAGGTGAGGGAGGGTTTTTGTTGTGCCTTCCAGGTGTGTGGCACACCACTTTCAGGGCCCACAGGATCCTACCTACCGTTTCATAAACACACCTAAATGCAAAGCAGAGTTTTACTGCACCCAGGCCACATGGACCTCCAAGTGCAACAGATTCTGCCCTTTTAGGGTGACAAGGCTGACATTTATCTTTTAATTGGCTTTTGAAAAGAGTTTCTGTCATTCCCCCTTTGTGCACTCATGTTAATATGGAGTACTTCTGACAGAGGGGCCACCAGTGACAGTGTCCCGGCCCAAGGGACAGAGGCAGAAGCAGAGTCCTGCAGCATCTCCACGAGTCCCCATGGAGAGATGCAGCATGGTGTGATGAGAATGCAGGGCTCTGAGCTCACTCAGTGTGTTCCGTGACAGCTCCACAACTATGTATCTCTGGACAGGTGATGCAGCACCCCAACCCAAGCCCTGGTTCACCACCTACACCACTGGCTCATGACAGTCTTCCCTTCCACAGTGCTTGTGAGCACGGCCAGCACACTGCAAGTGCCATGCTTGGGCCTGCCTGGTCACAGCAACAGAAAAGCAGCACCTGGGACCAAGGGGATTTCCCTGACCAGGTGCCTGCTTCCTCCCAGGGTCTCTGCACTGGCCTTTTGTAGCTTAGGAAAGCCCTGCCTGCCTGGACCCAGGAACAGCACAGCAGCAAAATCTTTCTTTGCCTTCTCTGCCTCCTCAGCCACTCATTGATTCTATGCCTCTGGGCCCTTACCTGCCACTCTTTGGAGTAGATGTCAGTTTTCCAATCCCCTCCCCTGGGTAGGGGAATAAACACTGGCATAACACGTGCAGATTACAGAAGGCCTTCATGCCTTATCTCATTCCATCCACATCACAGCCCAGGAAGCAGAAGACACCATTGGTACAGGCTCCATTCCACAGAGGAGAGTGTGGTCATGTGCAGGGAAGGGCCAGTTCCCAACCTCAGGCCCACCCTTCTCCCTTCCACTTGGCTCTCCCCTCCGCTCACCCGCACCAGCATGTGGCATCAGAGGCCTGGGGAGAGGGGATCAGGCTGAGTGTGAGCTCTGTTTGAGTCCACAATACCTTGGTGTGGCTTCAGGATTGGAGAGTAAAGGACATGCTCTTTCCCTACCAAGTTCCCAAACCTGGGGGTAGCTGTGGTACTTAAGCGCCCCAATCCCATTAGAGATATGGCAGAGGCCACAAACGGCCATATCATCTGAGATGTGGGGAACACAAGTGACACTGACTCTAGGGACAACCTGGGAGCTAGGAGCCCAGGTGTGTCCTCTGTGGATATTCTGGATGGAGGAGATGGTGCCACAGAAGAGAAAAGCCTAGAGCTACCCCTACTGCAGGGGTGGAGGCAGGGCAGACAGTGATCAGGGAGTGGTCAGGAAGGCGGTCAGGGCAGTCACTCTGGCCTCCTCCTCCAAGGAGCTCTCAAAGCAGCACCCTCTTCCAGCTGCCCATCCCTGCTAGTCCCTGGTAACTAATGCCATTGTGTAGGAGGCCTGGCACTATCATCCCCATTTTCAGATGAGAAAACTAGTTCAGAGAGATTAATGCCTGCCAAACCTCAGACAACAGAGCTAGGACTACCACCTCAGTAAACAGCCTCTTTCTTTGCCCAGAACATTGGCTGCAGAAAGGTTTCCTGCCACTGACAAGCCACAGGGTACCTGTCACCTCAGTGTTCAGCTGAAGGCAGAGATCTTGGGTTAACCCACATGCAAGGTGGCTTTGTAACCTTAACCATTCACCATATCCTGTTCTCATTTTGTTTCTGAGATAACAAGCATCAAATCTTCTGGTGGGTGACAAATCTACCACAGCACCCCTAGACACTCAGACACAAAGCACCAGTTCTGATGCAATTACTGGCAAAGACGCTCTGAGGGTTCCGGGTTCATTTTTGTGGGAGAGTTTAAGCTCAATTAGTGTCATCCAGCTTTCTGAAGAATCTTCCTTGGAGGAGACAATTAGGCTACGTAGTGCGAGGTACTGGGAGGGCAGCAAGCAGTACATGCACAACTCAGCCCCTGATGGCACAATATCAGGAAAGCAACACAGCTCCATGAAAGTCTTCCCAGGCATGAGGCACTGGGCTGGGCTCAGTGGTCCACACACACAGTTCTCATGTAATCTTTCTAATACCCCTAGTGGTGGGTGCTGTTCTAGTCTCTTCTGTGTAAGAAAGGAAACTGAGTTCGGGGACTGCCCTGCCTAGAGCCATGGAGGCTGGAGGTGGCACACCAGGCACGTTTGACTCTGGAGCTTGAGTTCTTCACCACCATACTGTCTGTTCTTCTGGTAGCCAGAGGGGGAGGCTGGGCCTCAAGGAAGCCATGATTGGGTAGAAGCTGACCAAAGGCTGAGGGAGCCACAGCCCAGTGCTCCTGCCAGCCCTTACTCCACAGGCCTGGTTCACCAGCTGACAAGTGCTTGGTTTCCTTCTCTGCCTCAGTCTAGAGAACAGCTGGGCACCTGGTCAGTGGAGATGGCAGAGGGTGGGCCTAAATGACCGAAAAGGGGGGTGTACAGGTGTGTCTGGAGGGCTCTGACGAATACCATCTTTTCTGCAGAAGTCAGGGGCTGTGCTCCTGCTCTCACCACCATTCTAGCTCTGAGCCATGCACAGGGACCACTGGGAGGTTCCTTAGCGAGTCCCAACATCCGGCCAGGTCTCCCTGGCAGGCTGGACTTTGAGACCTCTTCCTGACCCATCTCTGCCAGGAGAAGGGGTAGCGCAAACAACTTCCTTAGCCCCAAGAATGTGTACTTGTGCGAAAGAGTGAACATGGAGGTGGGAAGATGGACATGGGATGGGGAGAAGAGAGCTGAACTGTTCTGAATGACTCTTAAGCCAGTGGACTGGAGGGAGGAGTCCAAAGCCTAGTGCTGGCACCTCCAACACCACAAATTATCCAGCTTCCTGAGGCTTCAGCTTCTTTGGCTATAAAATGAGATGACAATTTCCACTTCCTGGTGGGCAGCACAGGGACTAGTGAGGTCACATGTAAGAGCAGCTGGTTTAAGAAAGGCACATAACAGAGTCACTTTCAACAACACTACTTCCAAGTGGCCTGAAATTCCTCATGAATTTAGACTTAGTGTTTAAGGTTTCCCATATCCCTTCTTAATTTGGACTTGCTTATTTTTTCTTGAAGTTTCTTGCCAGGGATGCTTACACAAATCTGGGGCTTCAGATTTCCCATACTTTCTCAGACTCTTGGTGTTTTTTATTTAGGTCTTAAAACTTAAGAAGAAAAAGAACGTAGGAAAACACTGCCAGAAATACTTGTGTTTATCTCCAGCTAATGCACAAAAAGGTGACTGGCAGTGCCGCCTTTAACCGACTTGGAAGAATGGCTCTTCACCCAAACAGAAGTGCAGGGATTGCAGGTTCCCGTCAGTTAGTACCAGATCCGTCTTGGTGGTCGTGGACCATCACGCTGGCAGTTTCTTTCCCCTGGAACAGTTCCTGATTTCCCATGACCAAAACGACACATATTTGTCAGCAGTCGGAATGCCTCCTGTTTTTGTTCCTACTCGGCAGAGGAAGGTGAGGGGTGAGGAGAGAGCCAGCTGCAGGATAGTCACTTTCTCACGCAGGCTAGAGGAGGCAGCAAGATACTTTCAAGCCAGAATGTCCTCCCAGGCCCGCAGGTTCCTGGTCCTGCTCACCTTACCACCTACCATCTACCCACCAAGCTTTCCAGGTGGTGGAGACAGAGTGTAGCTTAGTGCTAATGGAATGGACCATGCCCCAGGGACCACTGGGCCATAGGGGTTGGGAGAATACTGCAGGCTTACATGGTTAGGGGCTGGAGGAGTATCCCAGGAAGGAAAGGAAAAGCCCAAAGTTACAGAAATGACAGTAGCAGAGGCAATCTTGGGTCTAGTGAGTTTGGTGATCAAGCTAGCTTTATCCATGAAGCTACAACATGGTGAGTTCAGTCACTCTCTAGTCAGGGAACAGAGGGTTGTGTAGATATTCATAGGCCTGAAGTCTCTTGCACTGGCAGCCTCATGAAGATGAAATACATGCAGCAGAAATCCTGAATGATCAATCTGACAGATCAGTCCTCTGAATTCTGGACAGGAAAAGAGGGGCAGATCTCAATGTCGAGGCAGGAGCAACATCAAATGTCCTTAACTAGAGAAAATGGGTCGAGAAACGTCTGGGACCTGGAACCACATACATTCTTTCTTGAGTTTCTGAACGGCCAGTGCTTTTTTCGTAGAAGCTGCATTAAAGTCGGACAACAAGGGCTGAGAAACATCAAGCAATGACCTCCTTTTCTATGGGTCCCATGTCATAAACTCTTGGCATTTTAACATGGTGGCACTTTATACAATTCATGTTTTAAAAAATTGGCCCTTGTAAAACTCTCCTTGAAAACCTTGTTGGAAAATAGCTATACTAGAAACATGAGAGGGCCAAGGGAGAATAAGCACTGAAGACCATCATTACAGTGGCTGTTTTGTCCTTCTGAAGCCTGCTCTCTCACACAACACAGTTATGCACAGGCTGACTGTAAGCTGCAGCATTCTTGCAGCAGTCAGGAAGGTTCGGTGGAGCCAGGTTGCTGATTAAGAGGAACATAAAATACCAGTGCTAGGGCAAAGTGCAGGCTCGATGAGTGGAAAGTCCCTTGGGTTCCACAGGGCACCAAGTAATAGACCTGTCCATATTTTTCTTACTGCTATAACTTTGAGGCTTTCGGTGGTTTTATCTGCAGCTAAAGTGACCTCCGAGAGGACGCCTCTATCAGAGACAACTGCAACTATCTCCGAGCTTCCTTTCTCATGGCATCCTTACCAAGCCTGATTACTGTTTCCAAAAGATGAACTAAACTCACTGTGCTGGAGCCTCACGGATGAAGCCAATCCATCACCAAACTCAACACCCAAGATAGCCCCTACTCACTGCAGCCTCTGTGACTCTGGGCCTTTCCCTTCCTTCCTGGAATACCTTCCTCTGAAGCAAGCTGCCCAACCTGCAGCCCACAGGCTGCGTGCAGCCCAGGACTTTGAATGTGACCCATACAAATCCATGAACTTTCTTGAAATACTATGAAATTTTTTGGGGGAGGATGGTGATTTTTTTTCTAAGCTTATTTAGGTATCATTAGTGTTAGTGTATTTATGTGTGGCCTGAAACAATTCTTCTTCTTCTAATGTGGCCCAGGGAAGCCAAAAGATTGGACACCCCTGCTCTGATGCATTCCCTGACTGTATTAGCCTGCAGTGTTCTCCCAACCCCCACAGTCCAGTGATCCCCAGGGCGTGTTCCTTTCCATTAGCACGCTGCAGCATGTTGCTCTGATCAACTGTCAAGAGAGGCCCAGCAAGGGTTGTTTTATAGGCTGAATTGTCTCCTCATACCCCAAATTATTCACATGCTGAAGCCCTAAGCACCAGTACCCCAGACTGTGGCTGCACTTGGAGATTAGGCCTGTAGATGAATGATTAAGTTAAGATGATGCCATTAGGGTGGGCCCTGATCCAATCTGACCACTGTCTATAAGAAGAGGAGATTGAGAGACATGGAGACACCAGAGGTGTGCAACAGGGGATAGCCACAGGAAGAAGCAGTAAGGGGGCAGACACCTGCAAGCCGAGGAGCGGCACCTCACAGGAAACCAACCCTGCCAGCACCTGCCAATGCATTTCCAGCCTCCAGAGCTGTGAGAAGGTAAACTTCTGTTATTTAAGTCACCCAGTCTGTGGTATTTGATATAGCACCCAAGCAAACTAACACAGGTGCTCAAACCAAGAAAGACAGGCCTTAATGGTGACGCTGAAACCAGGGGCCACTGACATCTCCCAGGAACTCCCTGCAAGGCTCAAACTGACCACTACCCAAGCACTGGTGTTCTTCCAGGTCATCACAAAGCACTGTTCTCGGGCACCTTCCCTTAGGCAAAGACAGTCAATCCTGCTTCCAACGTCTCACTTCACTCATTCTTTGATAAGAAAGCACAACAGTCAGGCTTGCCATGAGTACTCAAGAAATGGAGGTGACCTCTACTCACTGTTCAGCCACATTTGGGTCAAGAGAATCAGTTTCAGTGGGTGTCTCAGGCAAGGAGGAGCCGGACTCCTGTATCTGGCACAATTCCTCATCTGTGATGATATCAAACACAGCATCGTCTGGTGGCCTGTAGTCTGTGTTTGCTCCTGGGCAGCAGAGGCAGATCAGGAGAGAAGAGACACAACACACTGTTACGCACAGGCTGGGTAAGGGCCCTTGGGAAAGTGAGAGAGTGCAGCTATGCAGAACAAGCTGCTGAGGCACAGTTTAACTAGTCACTCAACTGACAGCTGTTCTGTCCAGAGTTGAGAGAAACAGTTGCTGGGACATTCCAAAAATGTAGAGGAAGGCTTACAGATGAAATGGTATGCACAACCTAAGAGACTTCTCAAAGTCAGGGGCTTAGAAAGGTTTCAACCTCTTGTGTATTCTCTGAGGTCCCTTATTTGAAAGGAAAAACCTTATTAAGAAAGCACTTTGGAAGGCCAAGGCTGGTGGATCACTTGAGGCAAAACGATGAAACCCTATCTCTAATAAAAATACAAAAATTAGCCAAGTGTGGTGGTGGGCACCTGTAATCCCAGCTACTTGGGAGGCTGAGGCACAAGAATCACATAAACCCAGGAGGCAGAGGTTACAGTGAGCAGAGATTGTTCCACTGCGCTCCAGCCTGAGAAACAGAGCAAAACTCTGTCTCAAAATAAATAAATAAATAAAATGAGCAGATGGGAAACGTCAAAAATCAAAACAAGTGACCTTAGCACTCTGTGGTCACTAATGAGTCAGGGCAAGCCCATGCATAGTTTCTGGGGTGGTTAGCAAGAAAAATGGTTCATGTGAACTTAAAGTTCTTAGCTGGACCTGCCATATGACCACTAAGACAGGCCCTGCTTTAGAAGGGAAGTTCTTCTTGTCTCAAGTTGTGTAACAGAGAGCTTGAGGCATATGCTAAAAAAGGGGGCCAGGGATTGGTTTTTTTCTATAGACCCAGCCACACTCCTGAACTTGCCTTGTAAGGCTGGCAGAGGGAAGGAAAAAACAGACAACAGGGATTTAAAATGATGTCCACTGACAGAATCCAAAGCCCTAAATAAACAGAAAATTATACCATGTTCGTGAACTGAGTCAATTTTATTGAGATGTCAATTCTCCCCAAACTGAACTAGAAATTCAATGCAATTTCAATTTAAGTATCACCAGGAGTTTTTGTAGAAATTGACAAACTGATCACTAAAACTTATATAGAAACACAAAAACCTATAATAGCCAATACTTTGATAAAGAACAAAACTGGAATCACTCTACCTAATTTTAAGAAGCTTTATAAAACTATGGTAATCCTAACAGTTGGGTATTGGCAAAAGACTAGGCACACAGATAAACGGAATAGAATAAAAGTCCAGATATAAATCCACACATATAAGGTCAATTGCCTACTTTCTAATGGCAGCATAAAAAAAAAAATAAGGTCAATTTTTGACAAAGGTACAAAGGCAATTCTATGGGAAGAGAGAATAGCCTTTCAATCAATGGTGTTGAAATAACTGGACAACATATATAAAAAGATGAATCTCTATTCATACCTTTCACCATATACAAAGATAACTGAAAATAAATCATAGACCTAAACGTATAAACTAAAGCTATAAAACTTCTAAGAGACAACAGAAAGTCTTTGAGCTAGATATGACAACAAAAAGAAAAACATTTATCCCTAACAGAAAAAAAAAAACTGATGAACTGGACCACCTTAAAATGATAAACTTCTGCTCTTTGAAGATTTTTTTGCTCTTTGAAAGAAAATATAAAAACAAGCTATAGATTGGGAAAAAAGTACATATCTGAAAAAGAACTTGCATAGAAAATACACAGAGGACTCTCAAAATTCAATAATTAAAAAATATTTAAAAATGGGCAAAAGATTTGAAGAAGATAAACTAATGCTGTGCAAAGTACACTCTCTGTCCTGATCAGTTCTTTGTATCCAACAACATAATGGGGCCTGCCAACCGCTTGGTAATCCACTCAAACAAAAGAGGAATGGACAGCATTTCTAAATGCTGGCTGGCCTGCATCCACGCAGAGGCCAAGGAGGAGTTCACAGGGACCAACTGCAATGGCAATGATGCTAGAGCAGAGACACGCTGAGAACACTTCTTCCTGTGCCTTCTCAGCTCTGCCTCCCTGTGCTACACATCCAAAGTCCAGTGCCCTGGAGGGCAGCCCAGGTCTATCTGTTAGGGTGTGCTCAAAGCAGAAGCAGCAGAACCCAAACTCCACTTCCTTTACGGGGCTGAGTGAGAGGACACAAAGGAGATTACATCCTCCTTGGACATGAAGGGAGAGCACGCTTCAGGAGGAGAGTGAAGGATGTGGACGGTTCCAGACACAACTCCTAGCCTTGAGTTACTCTGGATGCCAGGGCTGAGGCCCTGGTAGACAGCATTTTCCAAAGCATGGGATGTATTTCACAGATGTGAATTAAGATGTATATAGACTTCATGTTAAACCACACTGAGGCCAGGTGTGGTGGCTCCTGCCTGTAATCCCAGCACTTTGGGAGGCCGAGGTGGGTGGATCACGAGGTCAGGAGTTCGAGACCAGCCTGACCAACATGGTGAAACCCCATCTCTACTAAAAATGCAAAAAAAAAAAAAAAAAAAACCAGCCAGGCACGGTGGCATGTGCCTGTAATCCCAGCTGACTTGGGAGGCTGAGGCAGGGGAATTGCTTGAACCAGGGAGGTGGAGGTTGCAGTGAGTCGAGATCACGCTACCACACTCCAGCCTGGGTGACAGGGTGAGACTCCGTGTCAAAAAAAATAAATAAATAAAACCATACTGAATCTTGTCAGGAGAGAGTTATTCCCTTTTCAAAAACCACACTGAATCTTACCAGGAGAAAGTTATTCCCTTTTCAATTCTCTTTCAATCCTAAGCACATCAAAATGAAAGTGTCAAGCTGGTGGTAATATACTTTAGCACCTCTTCAATATCTAAGTTTAGAAAACACTGAATTTAGCTTTTGAGCACTAACTAGCCACAACTTGGTAGGGGTGGCACCTAGAGAACATAGTAGGCAGTAATAGGAGCCCGACCTTGGTGTCCCGTGGCCTGGAGCCCAGCTGAGGCTGGTGATAGTGCAGGGCTGGGCTCTCCCTGGCTAGTGCCTGAGCCAGTGCTGTCAGGGGAGCCAGGGCCTTCACTGAGCTTCTGGAAACAGGCTCGGCAGCAGCGCTCCTTCTTGCCACCATGCTTGGTTAGGACGTAGTTGTTGCAGCAGTAGTAACAGAAGATGCGGCCACATATCCTGGGAACAAAACAAGCCCAGGCTGTGAGAATGATACACTACGATCTTGTGCGATCTGTTCACTACCCAAACTGCGCTCTGGATGCCATGTGACCCTCATCAGACTCAGCTCTGCCCCTACCTTAGGATGTGGCCATGAGCTCATTTCATAAGATTCCAACAAAGCCTTCTTGTCAACTTGGTGAAAGAATGTTTTACTTCCTGGGGTCTTGGGAGGCAGGGAGATAAAGTGTGGCTGAGCCCACCTTCCCTGGCACCAAGTTGTAGGTATGCCTCCCATATCTCAGGGGCAAAGGCTCTAAGAGACCACAGACCTTCCACAGCTGTGCGAATTATTCTGCACCTGCCCCTAGCCCAGCCAAAGATTCATCTTTACCCATCCTTCTCTGGCTTTTGTGCCCCTGGCACTGCCTGTGTTCCTCTAGTGAAGCCTCAGGCCAGCTCTCGTTGGCTTCCACTAACGCTGCTCCTCTCTGGTCCCTATAGGCTGAGGAATGGTAGAAGAACTGCTAGTCTGTGGGTACACCCCATCCCTGTGGGCCCCACTAACTCCATCCACATCTCTGTATTTAGTTCTTTCCTTTCAGGGAGCCCTGATCGTTCTGCTAGGATCCCAACTAATACACCTTCCTCACCCGGTTCCCTTAAAGCCAAAATGCAATGTGCGCTTCCTAAATACCAGCCATGGTGCCAACACCTATTACAGAGTGCCAAACCTATCACAGAGTCCTCTTTCAGAGCTGTCTGCTCTGGTCCCGGGCCCCGCCGGGTTTTGGTGCCAGCCCATGAGCCCTCTGCTGACCTGCAGTGGTGCCGCCGCACCATCCAGCTGAACTCCCGCTTGCAGTCAAGGCAGTGGTTTGCCTCCGTGTCCCCGAGCCACCTCTCCTCGGCACTGAGCTTCTGCTGGAATTCCAGGGCATCTGACTTCTGCCAGAGAGCATCCTTGTCCCTGGGACAAAACCCCATTGGAGAAAAGCAGAGAGAATCCATGAAACCAACAGGATGATCTTGTTTCATTTCAAAAGACATTTCCTAAGTCAGAGAAAGAAAATTCACTTTCACCTTGCAAATATGCCCCAGCCCATGCTAGGTCTCCTCCATCTCCCCCAACATACAGACTTAAGTGACACCACATGCATGAGAACACACGGGAGGCAAAAGATGTACACAGAAGGCACTGTCAACTGCAAAGAGCTGCCAGCACCAATGAGGGCCACCACTCAGGCACCTAAACAACAGTGCTGAGGACCACCGGAAGTTTAGGCTAAAACACACTGTCATGCTGACTCTGCGTGCAGTAAGCTCAAGGACCATGAATGTACTCCCCACCCAAATCTTAATGTGCTTGGGGTCCTTTTTGTTTCTACGGTTGGTCCAAGCAATAGTTAATCAGTGCAGAAGATCAAGGATTTCCTAGCGTGAAAATCTGATCAGATGTTAGCCTCCTCTGCCCCTCAGAGAGATGGTAAGGTCATTCCAGGAAACCAGAACAAAAGAAGTGTGAGGCTTTCCAGAAAGGTCTGGCAGTGTCAGAACGTGCCTGATGCACTGGAGGGGGAGGATGTGAACAGAGTCTTCCTCAGGGAAATTAATGAGCGTTTTCAAGCTTGACGGTTTCTGAAGTTTAGTTCTTTCTCGTATGGAGCCCCAGCTGGCAACCTGAGGGCTAATGCGGCCCTAGCAGCACCGCGGCCACTGATAATGTGACACCCAAGCCACTCAGGTCCTGAGAGAGACAGGCTCCATCACTGACCAGGAACTCCCAACCAACCACAGATCGTTTGCCTTAAATAAATAAGCTTGAACATGGGCTTGAATGGCTTTTTCAAGGACGGTTGACACTGTCAGGAAGTAGAAAGACTCGTTCTCTGAAGCAGCCTCATTCTCTAGGCTGATCCACCCACCCTTTGGGAATGTGGAATGCTACCAGAAGCTGGGGGTTTTCCATCACACTCCTCAGGTCAATAATACCTTGCGTCATAACTCTGTGTAGTGATGATAAGAAGGCAGAGTTTTTAAACCTTCAACTTGGTTATCATTTTAATATCACTGTTTTGCAAAACTTAATGAATTAGCACATCTAGGCTTTGCTGATCCATGGTGCTGCTAACATCACGAAAAGAGGGCTAATCAGATTGTATGTGCCTCTTGAAGGAAAAACACAAAACTACAAATCAATTCTATGAAGGCTTCTTGCCAAAAATTTTGAACCTGAATCTAAGCAAGATACTAGTAGAATGATGGTTCTCAACTCTCACTCACTGGTGTCTGAGTCCCACTCCCAGAAATTGCAATTCAGTTAGCTGGGGTGGGGCTTGGACATGCGCATTTTTAAATGACTTCCCTAGTGACTCTAACACGTAGCCAGGATTGAGAACCACTGCAATAGTTGTAACTATGGACTCATAGGAAATGTAAGGGATGGATGATCATGTTAAATGACACCACAAGGATGCAATCAGCAAAAATAGAGAGATGGTAGGGAAACCCATAGACTAAAAGGGATGTAAGAGACATATCAATTGCAATAGATGATCTAATTTAGATCCTGATTAGAATGACCTGAAAAAATTCTAAGGCACTGGGAAAAATTTGAAACTGACTAGATACTTGATGATATTAAGAAATTATACTTCATTTTTTAAGGTGTCTTAAGGACACTGTGGTTGTTTAAAATGGAGAGTTCTGGGCCAGGCATGGTGGCTCATGCCTGTAATCCCAGCACTTGGGAGGCTGACACAGGCAAATTACTTGAGGCCAGGAATTCAGGACCAGCCCGGCCAACATGGTGAAGCCCTGTCTCTAATAAAAATGCAAAAATTAGCCGGTGGTGGTGTGCACCTGTAATTGCAGCTACTCAGGTGGCTGAGGCACAAGAATCGCTGGAACCCAGGAGGAAGCGGTTGCAGTGAGCCGAGATCATGCTACCGCACTCAAGCCTGGGCAACAGAGTGAGACTCTGCCTCGAAATAAATAAATAAAATAAAGTAAAATAAAATAAAAGACTCCTTGCCTTGGAGAGATACATACTGAAATATTTATGGATGAAGTGATATGTCTGGGATTTGCTTCGAAATAATCTTTGAAGGTAAAAAGCAGGTGGGTCTACAGATGAAGCAAGACTGGCCCCAAGCTGAACACTATTGAAGCTGGGTGACAGGTACCTAGGGGTGTATTACATGATTCCATTTTCGTATATTCGAAAGTTTCCATAAAGAAAAGTTAAAAGAAGTTTTGAATGACTTGCCAACATTACAAAATCAGGACATTTCACATGAAAATCCAGGTTTCCATCTTCTCTTGAGAAGTAAGGCGGTCTGGCAATTTTGAGCCAAGACGGATGTGGCAGAAGCACACAGTTGTGTCCCCAGTTTCTCACCGTCCCCTCCTGACCCAGGTCAAACTTACATCAGCTGCCTGGTACCTGCAGGCACTGGAGTCTGGGACTCCTAATACTGGGGAAAGTGAGATGGAGGAGGAGAGAGGGGCTCCTGAGAGAGGGCAAGAAAATGAAATTTCTGACGTGTGCTTTCAAGAGCTACATTTCTTTAGAGAAAACCCAAGTGTGGGGAAAACCGCAGCTGCTGGTTTGAGCCAACACTCACCTGAGCAACTCTATCAGCCGCTCCTCAAGATACTTCTTGGTTCTGTTGAGGTCATCCAGGTCAGCAAGCATCTTCTGGTCATTCCTCTCGCGGTCTGTCACCTCCTGGCAGAGTTTGCTGTAATACTCTTGGATTTTTATTGAGGCTTTTTCGAGTTCCTTCTGGGTCCTGGGGGAGGAGAGGTAAGTTTTCTTGATTACCCAGGACTTCCAGCTTCCCCAGGGCTTCTAGGCTCACCCAGGACTCTAATGAGGGGTGCTACTGCCCCCACCGTCGGGGAGCCCCTTAGTACTATCTGCTCACAGGTTATGCAGTCTCTAGCTTTTGAGACTCTCCTCACAGCCCCACATACAAAGGGGCATTCTGGGAGGAAGAACAGGCTGATCCCAGGTTGCCAGAAGCACCCTAAGTGAATAGAACTCTGCACTTCTTTGCTCCTGGACGGGGGCTGAGCCTGTGAGAGGAGCCTGGTAGGCAAGGCTCATGGGCTGGTGATGGGGAGGATGGGCAGGATGAGAAACGAGTCAGGACAGGCAGGACAGAAGTGTAGCTTCCTGGAGGTGGCCCCACGGAGGAGGGCCTGCCTTCCACAGCTCCTTGGGAATCTACACACGGGGCATGGGTGCTGGGCTCACAGCAGCACTCGGTCTCAATCTGCACTGCCAGCTGTTCTACCTGACAGGCCCCTGAGGCCCAAGGAATTTTATTTTGGGTGCTACAGGATGTCTCAGTTTATAGCAGAAGAAGCCGGCTGAATCTCGCTGTCTTCCTGACCCCACCTACTCCGTTTTCAACTCAGCTATCCACTAAGGCAGTGGTTTTCCAAGGATGGTCCAGTGGGACATAATAAAAGCTCCATTAAACAAAGGGCTCTGCAGAGAGACTGATTAATTTATACCTAATACAGCCCTTCCACATCTAGTATAAAGTTGCCAGGGAGCTGTTTACTAGACCCTGTCCACCAAAATGACTTTATAGGTGCACCCACACCCACACCACACACCACACACACACAGTGAATAAAATAAGTTGGCAGATAGACTGTGCAGCTTTGAGCAGCTGAAACAAATGCTCTGATATCTTACAAATAACCACTGTTCTGGCTGAGTGTGATGGCTCACACCTGTAATCCCAGCACTTTGGGAGGCCAAAGCAGGCGGATCACCTGATGTCAGGAGTTTGAGACCAGCCTGACCAACATGTACTAAAAATACAAAATTAGCCGGGCATGGTGGCACATGCGTGTAATCCCAGCTACTTGAGAGGCTGAGGCAGGAGAATCACTTGAACCCAGGAGGCAGAGGTTGCAGTGAGCCAATATCATGCCATTGCATTCCAGTCTGGGCAACAAGAGTGAAACTCCATCTCAAAAAAACAAAACAAAACAAAAACCAAACCAAAAATAAACAAACAAAACACTGTTATAGCATGTTTTCATGCCACCAACTCAGGCTCTGTTTAAACTGTCGTAGGAATATGACTTAGCTAAGAGGCAGCCAGTGCCCTATAGGATCTTAACACTGGAAGGGTAAGATGAAAAGAAATGTACGTCCAGGATCCTGGATCTCCCACTGAGCCAGAGCCCAGTTCTAGAAGGCAGGTGGTGGGGAGAGGTGATAGATAAATAGAAAAGTTAGAGACTTGGGACAGTTTGGTGTGCTTAGCTTTCCTGGTAGCACCTATGCAATTCAATTCCAGCAACTCCTCCTCCCCGCTAAACCTTTTTTTAAATCAGGTCCTGGCTCAACTAGCTGGGTCCCATTACCACATGGTGGACTTAGGCTCACAACTCCACGTGGCCCCAAGCCTCAAGATGAGGGGGTCAAGGAGGTCTTGGGGTGGCAGAGTGATCTGCTCTCCACAGATACGGCATCAGAGAGTCTGCACAAACACAGGTTGATCCTGGTCCTTGGCACACTTATCTTCCTTATCCATAAAACAGGGATAAATGATAGTACTTTCCTCATAGGACTGTTAGGAGGATTAACTGGGTCAATGTATGCAAAGTATTTAAAACAGAGCCTGCCACATTTTCAGCATTATTTAAATATATGCTGTTGCTAATTACATTTTTATGATCTAACTTTCATTTCATTTTAGTTTTTCCAAATCTTGCCATTACTGAAGTATGCACTGCGATATGCCAGAGAGAAGACAACCGAATCAGGAGAAAGGTGCCTTAGCCACATATAGGTTGTGATGGGCAGGCAGCCAGGTTCTTTGTGGCATGCGCTTTCTGAGCATAAGCACTTTCTGAGTTTGCGGTTTTTCTTGCAAGAGGACTTCCTAAACCTAGTATGAGTGACTGACTTTCTAAATGACGGGACCAAACACTTCTTCCCTGAAGGCTACTGACAGCCGCGTAGGTGGACTGTGACTAACCTTTCTAGGTCTTCACGCAGGGCAGCCCCCTCCTGGTCCTTCCTCAGCATGGCCGCCTGGCACTCTGCAAGGTGGTTGCTGGTGCAGCTCAGCTTCTCTCCCATGTCTGCTTGGGTAGCCTGGCACAGGACAACAGGGAGGAGACACTCAGCTTGCAGAAGCCCATGCAATGTATCATAAAGTGACTGGTGTGCCATCTACCCCATCTGGCTGGGTCACTTCTAAATGGAGGGTTGTCTTCTATTACGTTCAAGAGGCTAAGAACCTCTGCTCTATCTCTGTGGGGTCTCAACTACAACTAGTTGTGGTGGTTGGCAGGTGGCAGGTACCAGAATTTCCAGGGTGATATTAAAAGTGGGGGTGGCAGGGAGCAGGATTCACTTGAACAAGTCACTGCTCTGAAGACTGTGGGACGAGTGCCACCCCTGCGCCCGCCCAGTTTAGAATCACTGGCTGGCGACCACCCATAGAGATAGCCAAAGAGGACAACTTATTTCCTTTCTGCATTTGGCAGCTCCAGCCAGGTGTCCAGGGAATGGAGGCGGTCAGGGTACAAACTGAAGGTGTCTACAAAGGTGAACTGAGGATGGCTTCAGCCTAAGAATTTGGAGGCATGCACAGAGCCATCTTAAATGGTCCAGTCAAAACGACACCAGATGTCCTCTCCCTGACAGGTCCACACCACCAAGGCCTACCTTCAGCTTCCCCACAGCTTCCTCGGCAGCCTGCAGCTGCCGGCCTTGCTCCTCAAGCTGGCCTCTGAGGTTCCTGCACTCTTCGCCAGCATTCTAGGGAGGACAAGAAAGAGGTCATAAAGGTAGGGTCTTTGCTCTGAGGATCCCTCAGTCCCATCACCCAAACAGATAAAACCAAGCTACCTTTCTCTTTTTCCCTGCAAACTGGCTCCTCATTGAGCCTTGGGCTTATTAATAGCGAAACACTTTCAAGCTTACTAGGAAAAGAGACTTAGCCTGGTCCCCAAATTTAGAACTTAATTTATGCAAGGGAAAAAGTTGGCTATGAGCCACGAGGAGTTTCACGGGGTGGGGTGGCACTGGGTGCGGAGGCACATCTGTGGTGGTGCGGTGGAGCTGCCTCAGAGAGGATGATTAGGAGTAGCCCGAGAGTACACAGACCTCAATGCAGACAGATTAGTGGCGAGCCCTAGAAATCAAAGCCCCAGGCCATTCTGCCTGTCTTCCCTCTTAACCATCTTTAACCCCTCATCTTTGCGCACTATCAAAGGTACACAGTAACTGCTCATCTCACTAACTTGTCTGTTCCAAAGGCCTTGTAAAACTAAGTGAGTTGGTTCCCTACCCTGCACCTGCTGTCAGGAGAGCACCTGATGGGGTTGGTTATTCACTAAGAACCCAGAGACAGGACGTGAGCAGCTGTGAACTGCTGGCTCACTGCAGGGGTTTTGGAGGCTAAGTCAGGGCTCTCACACTCACATGCCCAGGGGGGCTGGACAAGTACAGAAACGAAGGTAAGGAAAAGTCCAGAGGATGCGTGCCTCCTTTAAAGTGGGCAGCCACCCTCAGGCTCCTGCTGACTACCTTCAGCTGTCACAGGGAGGGGGTGGGGTGAGGATGCAGGCTTTCAGATCATCTGAGGTTTCAAAAGAAGCCCTCAAACTGTATTTGTAAACACCCTGCTCTTTCAATGTTGGCTACTAATTTTAAAAACTTCTGTGTGGGTTAATCTTGTTTGTAATGGTCTTGAGTTTAGACTTCTGGGCTAAGGCATCACTCCCAATATTCTGTTCTAACGTGTTTCCGCAGAGAAAAAGATGCTACTTTGAGTTGTGACAGCAGGACAGGACCATGAGATGTATGCCTGCACCCACAGTACGTTCTCCAGCCATCATCTGCCTCATAGCTGAAGGCGCATCCTTCCATGGACCCACCAGGCCTGCACAGGGAGATGGGTAGAGCTCAAGTGGTTGAAGCTAGTATTACCTTAAGTCTGCTCTGGTAGTCCATGATTTCAGCACTCAGCTGGAACTTGAGGGTGTCGAGCTCCTGGTGTGCAGCCTCCTGGAGGCTCTGGGCCCGCTGCTCGGCCTGGGCGAGCTGGGCCTGCAGGCCGGGCAGTGAGCTGGCTGCTGTCTTGGCCGCCTGCAGCTTCTCCTGCAAGCTCTCCTTCTCTTGCTGCAGCCCAGCTACTTGGCGCTCCAGGCCCTCTCGCTCTCTTGAGGCTGCCTCTTTGGAGTCCCGGAGCTCCTGGACAGCACTGGCCAGTGCCTCCTCCACCCGCTCCTTTTCCATGGTCAGTGCACAAACCTGGATGCCCAGCTCGGCTGTGTCCGTGTTGGCCCGGTGCAGCTGCTCCTGGAGCTCAGCGTGTTCCAGCTGTGCTTCATCGGAGCTGCATTTGGCCTGGGACAGCTCCTCCTGCAGGGCCCGCAGCTCCTCCTCCCTCTGCTGGGCCTCACCGGCCCTCTCCTCCTGCAGAATCCCTTCACGCTCTGAGCACTGCAGCAGCTCCTGGACATGGGCCCTGTTGAGGGCTTCATTCTGTTCCTTTAGCTGCTGCACAAGCATCTTGTGCTCACTCAGGACTGCCTCAGCCATGCTCAGCTGGCTCTGCACCTTGTCCCGGTCATCCAGAGCTGCCTGCATCTTAGCCTGCAGGTCCACTACCTGAGCCTGCAGCCGCTGGGCCTCCCCCTGATGGATTTCCAGCTGCGCCTGAGACACAGTCAGCTGCGCAGCCAGCTCATGGGCTTCACTGTTGGGGAGTGGGCTAACTCCCTGCTGGCCTTTCTCTGCTGTGAGGACCTGGATCAGCTGGGTCTGCTGGTGGCACTGGCTCTCGAGAGCCCTAAGCTCTCTGTGCCGGGCCTCTGCCAGTTGCCGGCACTGCTCCACCTCCTCCCGCAGCTGCTGGCACTCACCCTCCTTGCTCTGCAGAGTGGCCTCCTTTTCTGCCACCTGGGCTTTCATGGCCTTCTTGGCCTTCCTTACAGCCAGCAAGCTCGCCTCCATCTGCTCACCCAAGTGCCGGATGCTGGCCTGCTCCGCCTCCAGGGAGGCCAAGGAGCCCTGAATGGCTGCTTCCCGCTGCTGCAAAGCCTGGTAATCGGCCTGCAGGGCCTGCAGCTTGCCCTCCAGGAGCTGGTTACGCCCAACCACATTCTGTAGCTCCTTCTCCAGCTCCCTGTTGGCCTGCCGGAGCTCTTCCTCCTGGCTGCCCTCCTGCACCTTGGTATCATCTAACTGTGCCCCCTGCGGGCTCCTCTGCTCCTCCTCCGGCTTCCCACAGGCCACTTGCAGAGGGGAGTTCACAGGGACCAGGGTCTCATTCTTCTCATCTGCCACTGGCAGTTCTGGGCCGGGCTGCCCAGCAAGCCGCTCCAGCGTACCCACCTTCTGGCTGAGGTGGTCTTTGTCCTGGATGAGCTGCTTCTTCTGTTCCTCTAGGTCACTCACATGTTGGTTCACCTGTGCCAGCTGGGTCTCCAGGAACTGCAGCTGTCGGGTCAGAGATGTTACCTCCTGCTCCAGCAGCTCCTTCTCCTCCTGTCGCTGTTTCTCCTCCCGTCTCAACTCTGCTAGCTCCTCCTCCCGGGAGCTCGAGCGGGCCAGCAACTCCTGCAGCCGTCGCCAGAGCTGGTCTGCCTCCTGTCCCTTCCCAGATAACTCCTCCTGGAGCGGGGCCACCTCCTTCACCAGGCGCTCCAGGTTGGCCTGGGCGTCCTCCTTCAGCTGCAGCTCCTCGGCCAGCTGCTCCAGCTGGGCACCCTGCTGCCTGTTGACCTCCTCAACCTTGGTTCTCTCCATTTCCAGGGCTCGAAGCTTCTCCTGTAGCTCCTGGATCTCCCGAGCCGCATCACTGGGAATGGGTTCTTGCTGGCCCTTTGTGTCTGGTGCCGCATCAGCCTTCTGCTGAGCCATAGCCAGCCAGTCTGGGATGCTGGCTAAATGCTGGTTCCTCCTGCCCAGTGACTCCCGTGTGGCCTCAAGCTCCTGTGCCAAGGGCTGAAGCAGGGACTCCAGCTGCCGCAGGGCTGTGTGGTAGTCCTCCTCCTTTTCTGCTGCTCCTAGCTCCAGGGCCTGCAGGCACATCTGCAGCTCCTTCACAGTGTTCTGGGTGGCCTGGGTGACCTCCCTCTGCTTCTGGAGCTCAGCCACCAAGCAAGTGAGGCGAACGTTGTCCTCTGCTGCAGTGCGCCCCCTCTCCCTCTCTGTCTGCAGTTGCTCCCCTTGCAGGCTGACAGCTGCCCTCAGCTCCTGGTTCTCTCTGTCCAGCTGCTGCATGCGCTCCTGCAGCTGCTTTTCCCGCACTTCCAGCTGGTCCAGCTCTAGCCGCATCTCATCAAAGCCCTCCAATGCCTCATTGTTTAGGGGACTGTTAAGGTCAAAATTGGATGCCGTCTCTTGAGTCTGGGAGGAAAAACACAAAAGACAAGTGTGGCTGAAGCTACACGGTTACTCAGAAAAGCTTTAGACTTTAATAAGAGCAGAGGTAAAAATATAGGCATTAGCTGCCCTAGGGTTAGTCTAAAGAACTACTCAAAAGACTAGAAGAATCCCTTTGCTCAAAGCATCTGCCACACAGTTAGCAGCACACTGCAAAGACATGAAGTCACCCATGTGAGCTCCACGAAGATACAGACTTGCATTTCCCATCCAGCCTCCTTCAGTTTGATTAACTTGTCTCTGAGATAAATTCAATTATATCTAAGCTGTTGTTCATTCATTGTGCCATACCCATACCCGTAACTCCTGGCATGATTAAGCCACAAAATAAGGTAAAAGATTAATCTACTATCTACTCTTCCTCTTCCTTATATTGATCGTTTTAATTTTTTTATTGCTGATCAGTTTCCATAGAACTATATACAGCTGTGATAAATTCACATTTCTAAAAAAATTAACAAAGTGCCCCTACCTACTAACATTGACTGAGCCCTCACATATGTCAAGCCCTTAAGCAATTAACATATGTTTAAGAACTGTACACGCACTCCCTCATTTATGAGCTAGAATGATTTTTATTATCGCCATCCTGTGGATGAGAGAGCTGAAGGTCAAGTAATTTCTGCTTGGTCATAGCTGGTAGGTGAGAATCAAGATGTGACTCTGTCACTTTGGTGCTAAACTGCTTTTTTAAAAAATACTTTAAAATCATTTAAGAGAATTTAATTTTAAGAGAGCCTAGATTCTATTTGGTTGAAAAACCCAGACTCCAGGGAATAGTGGCTATAACTGAGTGGTTCTAGTTGCTGTGGCTGGAAGAGCAGGTGTCTGAGAACATCACCCTTGAGTTGCTAGGGGCAAGGACATACCCTGGTAGAAGCTACAGTAAGATAATTCCCAGCCTTCCTGGCCTTACCTGCAGGTAGGTGCTCATCAAACTGCTCATGCTGGAGCTGCGGCTAGGGGGTTTCCATAGGTAAGCAGAAGAGCCAGTGGCCAGAGTCCTCCTGTGGGGCCACAAAACAGATATACCTGTATTCAGACCGGAAACATATACACACGGAGGCCTTGCTGGTCACTAGGCAACCAGGTGGGGGTAGGGGACTGCCTTCCCAGGTAGAATGTAAGGAAGTCAAACCCAACAGATTCTACCTAGGAGCACAGCTGCACTGGTCTGTAACAGACGAATTCCATGGCTAGAGTTTTACTATCACGGCTTTCTTCCCACTGCCAAAAAAGAATTAAGTGAACGTGTGTTTTCTAATTTTTGGTTTAAATTTTCCTTGAGCTTTTGGTGCCTCCTTCAGTCTGTCTGCCAGTGAGGAACAAGCAGCAGTCAGTTTGCTAAATAAGAGTCACACTGTGCTTGGGGGGCCAGCTACCGCTTCGTATGACACAGCAACCGGGGAGGCCTGCTTCTAGGACACATAACCAGGCCGGACAGTGCAGATACAGAGCATTTCCCTCATTGCAGAAAGTTCCTTTGGATGGCATTGGTTTAGAGATACAAAGGCTGTGTGGTAACTCTCATTTAGCAGGAACACTGGAAACTAAACACATTTTTACTTCATCAGAATCATCTCCTAAATCTAAAACTATTGTGTTTTCAAACTTAGTCTCCACAACTCAGCAATTGCCCTTTGTAGTATCGTCCCTGAAGACAGTCACATATGTGCATAAGGAGATGGTGGGGATGCTCTTAACAGCACTGTAACTGGAAAAAGGGAAACCAAACCAACTCTACATTGCTAGGGACAGAGATATAATGTAGTTTATTTACCCAGCAGAATTCTCTACACCATGGGTTGGCATTCTTTTTTAAAAAAAGGGCCAGATAGTAAATATTTTGGTCTTGTGGGCTATATGGTCTCTATCACTCAGCTGGCACTGCTAGTGTAAAAGCAGCCACGGACAACAGGTGAATAAATGGGCAAAGCTGTGTTCCACACGGCCCTGTGGGCTATGGTTTGCCAACCCAATTCTATACCTATAGAACTTCATGTATGTATAAACAGATACAAAATCTCCAAAACAATGCAGAATGAAAACAGCAGGTTGCAAAAGAATAGATATCACATTATTCAACATGTGTAAAATTATATATATATATATATATATACATATATACACGCGTGCGCACATGCACACACACACACACATACACACACACACAGTATTTACAAATACCCAAGTAATAGTGAATGCGTAAGATTTGGGAATGATTACAGGGCCGTGATTACTTCTGAAAGGGGAATAAAGGAGAAGGGATGGCGACTGATCAATAATATTTTATTTCTTAAAAAAAGTATCAGACATAACCAAACCTCCCCACAAGAGCCAGCCTGAAGGGGCTCCCACTGGGATAATTGGATAAATGGGTAATTTAAGCTTCAAAATAAATAATGTCAGTAACAGAATGTACTGGACTGTATTGAATAAAATAAGAATCCACAAGTCAATACTGGTGTAAATGAATAAACGGGGAAAAAGGAAATGATATTCCTCACAGTAGAATGCCAACTAACAATGTAAAAGGAACAATGGAGTTAGAAAATCACTCTGGTAATGATGACGGTAATAACTGCTTCAGGCAAGAATTATCAAATAGTATTAAAACGAATACATGACAGATTTAAGAGAAAAAAGGATAATAATGTAATTTCAGTGTGTCTTCCCATAAGAGACATATTCATTACAAAGGAAGAAATAGTAACTTTTGGAGAAAGCTGCCAAGTCCCGCCTTACCCAGATGACTAGGGTTAACCTCATTAGCAAGAAACAAATCAACATTGTGTGCCTCCAGACACAGTGTGCTGACAAGGACACAACATCTGAGGTGTTCCTGCCAAAAATGCTTCACCTAAATCCAACAATGAGGAAACATCAGACAAACTCAAACTAAGGAACATTTTACAAAGTAACTGGCCTGTATTTTTCAAAAATGTCAATGGTATGAAAGACAAAGACTGAAAAACCCTTCCAAATTAAAGGGGACTAAAGAGGCTTAGCAATTAATGAATTAATAATTAACATGTGATCCGAGATTAGATCTTAGATTATGAGAGACATTATTGAGATAATTTGTAAAATTTGAATGTCTGTAGATTAGATAGCAGTATTGTATCAACGTTAATTTTCTGATTTTAATAACTGTACTGAGTTATAGAAGAAGATGTCCTTTGATTTTAGGAAATACACAATTAAGTACTTAAGAGAAAAGAGGATCAAGTCTGTAATTTACTCTCAAAAGGCTTAGGAAATAAAGCAACATGTAAATAGAAAAAAGATAAACAATTATAGTAAAATATCAATAACTGCAGAATCAGGGTGAAGGACAGATGAGTACTTTGTACTATTTTTGCAACTTTTCTATAATTTTGAAATGATTTCAAACTGTGAAAGTTTTAAAAAGAATATCTGGGTCAGGCATGATGGCTCACACCTGTAACCCCAGCAGTTTGGAAGGCCAAGATAGGAGGACTGCTTGGGTCCAGGAATTCAAACCAGCCTGGGAAAAACGGCAAGACTCCATCCCTACAAAACATTTAAAAAGGACATCTGAATACGGCAAAATGTAAGCTATTAAATCCTGGTGGTTTTCATGTGACTAACATATTCCCTACTTTTCTCTATATGTGAAATATTGCCTAATAAAAAATATAAATGTTACATTTTAAAAGCCTTATTAACAGAAAACAAAACCAAACAAAGAATGCTGGACTTGAGTTCAACCCAAGTCAGGTGTCCCAGGCCTGCTGCCCACCAGCTGGGTGACTCTGTCAAGTCCCCTGATCCTGAGCCTATTCCTCACACCTGCTTCCTGGAGCTGATGTAAGGACTCTGGGGATGGTGATATGTGAGTGCCGCATTCGTGTAAGATATGACTACTTCGATGGTCTCAAAAAAGAAAAAAAGAAGAAACAAAAATGCAGCAACCTTTCCTGCAACACTTCTGTGGACAAGCTGTGGCTTCCACTCCCTCTCCTACTGCTTAGGGGGCTTTTGTGATACTCAGTAAGAATAAGCAGGGGAAAAAGGCCACTGCTCCCCGAATGCCCAGAACAACAAGTGCCTTAAACAAATTCTAAAGCCTTGGGTTTTGCAATATGCATCTCCACTGACTCATGCCCTGGCCCATCAGATTGGTTTAAGGTTGGAGCCTTCAGATGTTATTGTTAGTCATGATTCAAAAAAGTCTGTAAAAGGAGCTGGTATAAGAGTTGAACAGTTTTATGTAATTTACTGAGCAAGCAAAATTGCTTTGAGTAGACCGATGGCAATCTTCAAAACTTCAAATGCCTCTTTTCCTGTCTTTTAAAAACCAAGCAGTCTTTCAAAGTACCTGGCAAATGTTGGCCAGGCAGCATCCAAGTCATAGCCCCTCGATGCCAGGTCAAATTGAACCTCAGTCAGCTCATAGAGTTGACCTACAATGTCCGAGCTCAGCTTTGGCTGCAGAAAGGGGCTTCTTGCATAGTACCAGTCACTGCAGAAAAACATAAGACATGTCAATTATAAGAGCAATAACGATAAAGAAAGAGTGGATTTAATCAGTCCTCCCAGTGTGGCTCTGCTTCATCGAAGTCCAACTCAGGTTACTAAATTAAAAGACACAGGCACACAAACCAATTTCATTTTCACAGTAGAAGCACATAACTCTCAAATAAGCTTGCTCTTCTTCAGAGAAATTACTGCAATGATCTGGATGCTTATTCATTGATTATATATATCATATCTACTTCTCAAAAAGGATATGGGAACCTTAAATGTCAATTACTTGCCAAGAAAGGGCAATTGTAGGAGAAAGAAAACTTCCTTTTTGAAAGATTACTTTCTATTCCATTTTCAGAACTAAATATGGGACACTAAACTCACTGCTAATTTCTGCCCAGATACCAATTTAAGAGCCAAGGAACAAACTATTCAGAAATGTTTCAGCACCATAAGGCAGGGTGAGAAAAAAAAATAAAATAAATGTTATCTGCATTTTTAGGTAGTGGGTGTTTCATTTCAGGCAAAGTAACAAGAATTTTAAAAATATGGGTCTGAGCACGGTTGCTCATGCCTGTAACCCAAACACTTTGGGAAGCTGAGGCAGCAGGACAGCCTGAACCTAGGAGTTCAAGGCCAGGGTGGGCAACAGAACCCATCTCTATCAAGAAAATAAAAAAATGGCTGAGCATCGTGGCACGCACCTGTAGTCCCAGCTTCTCAAGAGCCTGAGGCAGGAGGACTGCTTGATCCCAGGAGGTAGAGGGTACAGTGAGCCACAATTGTGCCGCTGTACTCGTCTGTGTGACAGGGTAAGACCCTCTTCCCCCTCCTAGCCACCCACCCGCAAAAATGAAAAAGATGGCTGGGCATAGTGGCTCACACCTGTAATCCTAGCTCACTTGAGCCCAGGAATTTTGAGACCAGGCTGGGCAACATAGTGAGACCCTGTCTCTACAAGAAGTAAAAAATTAGCCAGGCACAGTGGTGAATGCCTATAGTTCCAGCTACTCGGAGGCTGAGGTAAGAAGATCAATTGAACCCAGCAGCTTGAGGTTGCAGTGTGCTATGACAATGCCACTGCACTCTCGCCTGGGCAAAAAAGTGAGACATTATTATCTGTGAACTGTGATTAAGTCAAGTTGTTTATGCATCTTCACCAAATATCTAAAACAAAATAACCTTCAAATCAAATATGCAAACTTTTTGAACTTGTCAAATCACAAGGCCTGTCACGCGCATGAGAAATACGAGTACATCTCTGTGCAAATCAATCTTTAAGGTGACATAATGAAACAAAATGTTTTCCCTTTGTAGTTTTTTTAAGTTCAAAAGTGATTTCTTTGAATACTCCCAAGGGAAAGAGGCCAGTCAAGAGATGCTGGAAAACCCAAAGAAGTTTAGTTGACTGGTACCTGATTTGCAGCTTCTAAGCTGACACCCATTCTCTCCTTTATAGACTCAATCTCTGCCTCTCTCCTTCCTTCTACCTTCCCTGCTGAGGCTTCAGCACTACCTGCCCAAAGGCTGACCACCCACCTGACTTGTGCTCTGCAGCAGCGGCTCCCAGTTCTGGCTGCCCACCACAGTCTCCAGGGAGTACAGATACCCCGGAGGGTGTTCGCTCAGTATGCCAGGTGAGGACTCAGGTGCAGTAGTGTTAAAAACCCCACAGGTGATTCTGCTGAGAGGCCGAGGCTGTAACCTACCTGTCCAGTAGTGCTGGCACCAAGGACATGCCATCCACCAGGGAAAATGCCTGGTATCAGAAGTTAAGAGAGCAATGAGTGAGGCCTAGAGAAAAGCATTAAGCCCCACCAAGCCTCACTTACCTATAAAAACTCAGTGCTACCTGCCCACGTGTCAAGGACTTTGGGAGGAGGGTTGGAAGACAATGACAGATGTGGAAGGAGTCCGCAGGTGTCACGGGGGACACAAATGAGCACTGCTGTTACAGTATTATTATTGAATAATTATTGTCATTATTATTAATGAACTTTAGTTCATTTCTGCATGGGATGGTGCTAAACCTCAGCTCTGTCCTGTATTTACCTGGTCACTTTGGTGTTCATGAAGCACTGCTGTAAGGTGTCTGCCAACCTCTGGTGCACCAAGGAGTAGCGAATAAATGCTCTTCCTTTCCCCAGGGATGTTCGGAGCTGGAAAAAGCAGATCACATAGAGCCAAAGAGCTGTTAGCCTAACTCCAAATACAGACCTGGTCTCACAGATGGCTTGTGAAAAACAGATACAGGGCAGAAAACGTCACCCAATTCTACCCTATACATTGTCCTTCAAAGGACACAACATATTTGATACTAGCATTGAAATGCTATATCGACAGAAAGGCTTAAAGTGGCTTGAACTACTTACAGGCCTTCATCTAAGAATAATCTGCAGACGCCAGCAAACTTATCAAGGAAGATATATTAACGAGAGGCTTGGAAACATCTGTGGATTCTATTGGAATGTCACTTTCTCTCCTCTGCTCTATCAAAATCTCTGGGTTTGGAGTCAGATAGAAAACCAAGTAAAACTCAGTTTTATTTTAGAGTAAAACCTGGAGGTAGGAAAATGAAGGGCTTCTCACATCAGAAGTTAGCTTGAGGAGAAAGAGACGGTCTCAGCTCAGCTGATGCTGGTTTGTTTTTAAGGTATTGGGAGAACAGGTGCAGGGTAAGGGCCTAAAGGGCTTGGCAGATGCATGTGCAGAAGGTGCGTGCGTGCGGGGGGGGCCTGTAAAAAGTCTTGCTGGCCATGTGACTGCCTCATCTGTGTTCCGTGAAACCATCAGTAACATCCACAAGTCTGCCAACGCTTGCCTGGTTGGATTTCCTGTTCTTTTCCAGATATGCCAAATCACTACATGGAGTCAGAAGGAGCCCAGGGTGAGACCAGTGGTGTCTTTAGGCAGCTCAATCACACTGTGCTAAGACAAGATGGATATGGGTCTGTCCCACAAGTTTGGCATGGATGGCATAGGAAGGTCCAGGTGCAGGCCTGCCTTCAAAACCTCTCCCCGTAGAGCCTATACCTAAAATCCAATCTGGAAGAGAAGATGCGACTGACTCTGTTTTGAGGCTTAAATTCACCACTCAAAAGCTTGTTGTGATGGAGATGGGATATGTTGGTCAAAGACTCTGCCATGAGTCTGCAAAGCAGGGCTCTGCCAGCTGGAAGCATACAGTGGCCAAGACAGATAGAATAAAGGGGACAGCCACAGAAGACACTTGGCCAAGTTTGCAAATTAGGATTCATATTCCTGATAGGTCAGCCCAGAAGCTCAAGAAAGCAGGCAGGAATTCAAAACCTCTTGACCTACCACACGCACCTGCTCTGTCAGGGTCTGGCTCTGGGTAGGGCGAGCTGGGACCAACACCCTCCCCACCCCTTCAAAATTCAGAAATATTTAAAGTATGTATATGTGGTGTGGGAAGGGATAGCAGTGGTTTGCCAAAGAGGGTTCCAATACCCCATACTATTCAGACTGTAATTCTGACACTATACTGCATCAGGAAATACTCAATGGGGTAAACATTCTGGTGTATAGCACCTTTTAGTTCAGAGCTCAATATTTCCCAACACAATGGGGTAAACATCCTGGTATATAGCACCTTTTAGCTCAGAGTTATATATGTCTTCTTACTGCTGACTCAAGGAAATGATACCATAGGACGTAGTTTTTAAAAATAAAAAGGTACTAGCTGGGCGTGGTGGCTCACACCTGCAATCCCAGCACTTTGGGAAGCCGAGGCGAGTGGATCACGAGGTTGAGAGATCAAGACCTGGCCAACCTGGTGAAACCTCTATCTCTACAAAAATACAAAAAAAAAAAAAAAAAAAAAATTAGCCGGAAGTGGTGGCAGGTACCTGTAGTCCCAGCCACTTGGGAGGCTGAGGCAGGGGAATCGCTGGAACCTGGAGGGCGGAGGTTGCAGTATGCTGAGATTGTGCCACTGCACTCAAGCTTGGCAACAGAGCAAGACTCTGTCTCAAGAAGAAAAAAAAAAAAAAAGAAAGGAAAAGAAAAGAAAAAAGTAAAAGGTATTAAATCTCTTGAACTACAGAAGCTTTAAAACATTTCCCTATGTGTGTTTTGTGGGTTTTGGGTACAGCCAGGATACTGGAAGTGAGTGCAGGCAGCAGCCTGACTTGCTGGCTTTACAAAAACCACCTTTACATGTCTGCAGATAGCTGATCTTGGCAGATGTGCGGGGGAGAATCTCGATGGTATATCCTGTCTAAATCAGTTTTCTACTGATGACTGAGGTAAGAACAAAGTGTTTAGTGGTGATAACCAGGAAATTGAGGCAGTTGGGAAGAGCTGAGCAAGGCATTATGAAATGAAGTATGTCAACTGTACAAACACATACCCTGCAGAATTTCATAAGACCCTGACATAACAGCCCAGGTCTGTAAGCTCCCAAAGACAGGAGCTTGTCCTTATTTTTGGCAAACTTAACCATTATATTGGCCTTTAGAACATCAAAACTTCTTTAATGGTAAACAGTTGAGGCTATACTTTCAATCATTAAAAGGCCCATTCCCTAAATTGATTATAAAGGGAGCTATTTATTTTAAAGATATTTTTAAACATCCTTTGGGGAAGGGAACAATAGTTCCTTTGTACTGCAAAATAAAATGCTGCATGGCCTTTTTATTTTTCAGATTATGGGTCTGCTTTCATTCCCTAATTCCTTAATTTTTTTTAGCTTCTATAATCAGAACCCATATACACTATCCTGAGAAGCAATATAATGGCAGCAAAGGACAGAAAATCTGCAGGGTACATGAGAGCTGACTCTGCTTTAAACCAGGCCATTGTGCCATGGCCTGATGCCGAACTACCCCTCATCACAGTGAAACAGTCCAAGCTGAGCCCTTACTGAACCTCCAGAAATGGCTTCTTAGAACCTTCACATATTTTAGCCTAAATAGCTTCCTCCTACCTCAAAGAGGTCTGAGGGGGCCTACAAATGCTGCTTATCCAATGACTCACCCTCTCACTTAAAGACCCAGATGGCCACTTGACTATTAAAATTAACCAAGTATCTAGCAACTCACTTAGTCTAGGGATCTTCCAAGCCATTCCAACCTAAGATGCCCCGGAGAGCAGTCTTCATCAGAGAGCAAACAACTAGATCCTATGGGAAGCAGAGCCCAGGCCAGCCACTAAAACATCAATGCTCATGCAAGCAAGGAATGCTTTTTGCTTCTAGAAAGTCAGTTTTCATGGCTTCAAACTGTCTAAAGATCTGTCTGTATTGTGAGAAAAGCAGAAGAAACTAGCCAAAAAGTAGGTATGTTTTAGCAAGCATTTCATAATCCTGGGGAAGGGGGATTAAAACTAAATTTATTTCCAGACTTCAGCTGTCCAAAGTCATAAAGTCAAAGGCTTTAGTTGCTCTGATGCGGCGGCTGAGGAATGAAGAGAGGACAGTGACAAACAGAACCCCTTCCACATTTATGATGCATTAAAATTAAAATACAGCTCTACCTCATGGACCCAAGTATCCCACCGGGCAAGACCTCACAAGGCCCACCCACACTAACATAGACAATAAAGAAACTCGCAGAACCAGCCCTTCAGAGCCAGGATCCTTCCTCATCTTCTCAGATGTCAGAGGGTGCAGATGGTGGGAAATGTCCAGCCATTGATATCAGCATATCTAACACCATCACCCTCTATAAGAAGAAAGTCATCCAGCTACAGCTGCTGTGGTTGGTCAGGAGCCCTTCCCAGAATACCTAAGGCTGTGGCGTTTGTGGGCAGCCAGCCAAGCAGCAGGTATGTTGACTTAAAAGTGACTTCATACTTACTGAAGAGATACTGAAAAGAAAGATGAAATATACAAACTTCCTGTCCTAAATCTAAGGGTTTACCTGCTCCCTGATAGGCAAAGTTCTTCACTCTTGGATGGACAAGGCTGATGAAAGAGAAGAAAGACTCTCTGGGGGTTGAGGGTGGAAAATAAGCAGAGAGGAGAGTGTGAGTGTGTACGTGAAGTATGCGTTTGTATTTGTCGTTCTGGAGTTTTGTGAAACAGCAAAGCCATGGCATTTTGCTCTTGAGGGGCTCAGAATTGAATGTAGAAAGTTTTAAGAAACTTTCAACACTATTTTAAGAAATGTCTCTTGAGATCCCACATCATTCTCATTTCAAATCTAAGTTTCCTGGGCAAACTGTAGGGAGAGCAGCCTAGCAAACTCTAAATATTTCATCTAAGAAAATGAGTTTTTTAAAAAAGATAGAGCTATCCTATGCTGCACACCTCAAGGGCTGCCATTAGCAGACTTTCAATGTGAACAGGCCACCCTGTTAGGTAACATGTAGGTTGTGGCCTAAGGTACATTCAGGACTCAGCATTCTTCCTCTTGGTAAACACTCACCGAAGTGGTTTCCCCAAGCTTGAGTCACTGCAACAGCGGGCGTTGAGTATACCTTGACTAGATTTCTTTACCACTCATAAACTCCCACTTCCTCATTTAGCTGTCCGTGGCAAAGGTCTCTGCAAGAGCTGCTTCGAGCAGGCAAAAGGAAGACAAAAAGTTGCTGGCTGCTCCACTCAGCTTACCTCCGAGATAGACTTGACAAATCGGATCCCATCATTGGCTCCTTTCACCTTGGCCAGGCAGGCACAGAAGTAATCCCAGTAGTCCTTTTTGTTACCCAGGAGGGTGGCCTTCTCTTTCTGATCAAACTGGGTAGGGAAAGAGACAGGGAAAGGAGGTCCAAACCCACTGCTCTTCATCCCAGCATTCAAATGATAAATAATAACAATAGCTTCTTAGGCGCCAGCACTGGGTGAGACTCTCTATTGGCATTATTTTTATTTACTGGCAAATCAAGGTCTGCCTGTTCATACGGTTGGGTGGAACACCACCAAAATTGTTATTAACAGATGAGAAATAAGTACAAGAAAAGAGTCTTAAGGGCAATATGAAGAGTGTTAACTATGCTTTGACTTAGGGAAATAAGATAATGACACTTTATCCCAGTTACTCAACTCGTAAGTTTCAGTATCTTTTTCAAATACCTACAATACATTTAAATTAATGTCGGCTCTGAGTCATTTCAAATCCAAAACCAGAATGGGCTTAATTGAAAAAAAGAAAGGCTCAAAAACATTTTTATAATGTTAAAGAACCAGCTGAAATGGCATGAGAGAGGCAAGGCCTTCAGCACGTTAGGGGCCTTTCCTCTGGCGGGCCCGCATACCACATGCTTTGGTGGGATGTGATGCTGCAAAATAATGGTGTCCACGGTGATACAGGTATATCTTTCTGTAATATTTTATAGTATTTTTTCTGATTACAGAAGCAAGACATGCATATGTTATTAGGATAACTAGATAAAACCAAACAAAAAAATAGAAAAAATTTTTAACACCTAATACCACTACCCTAAAATAACGTCTAGAGCATTTTCTTCCTGCCTATTTTAGTTGCATGCATTTTTCCACATCTGCAGTGCTCTCCACATCAGCACTTTTTGAGCTAAGCAGGGATAAGAGGTATACCATCTATACGTTCAAAGGAAATATCCCAGGGTGATCCCATAGATCCTGATTCAGTAGGGTTGGGGTGGGAGCCAAGAATGTAATACTAACAAGCTCCCAGAGGAGCTCGATGCTGCCGGTCTATGGACTACACACTGAGTAGCAAAACTCTAAAACAGAAGCGCACAGATAATCTTTAGAGGGTCCACACCGTCTTAGAATCTGCCTGCAAAAATGCATGACTGAGTGTATATGCATATGACTGTCTTTTTGGGAAGACTCCATAGCTTTCACTAAACTCCCAAAGGGGTATGTAACTGCCCTAAAGCTAAGATCCTTGCCATACGATAACCTTCTGACCTACCTTACAATGAGCTAAATCTCTAAAGGATGTTCTTGATTCTCAAAGCCATCCTAGGGGCAACACTGCAATTCCCCAGGGAATCACACTTGGAAGACTGAGCTTGTAGTGAGGACTGCTCTGACCTTGCATCTAACCACGAGGGCTTACTGGCTCCTTGGGCTTTCCGAACCATATCTTGAATGCTGATGAGTCACCCAAAGAGGGAGAAAAGAAGACAGCAGGGCAAAAATCAACATATTACAGGCATCACTTACTTGCAGAAGATACTCAAGTTTATAAGAAAATTTATGCAAGCTCGTGCTATCATCCGTGACGGGTTCCCCTGCTTCCTGAAATTCTTTGCTTAGTTCTGTCACAGCATCTTTAAGACAACAAACAGGAACATGTAACCAGATAGTGACTAAACTCAGAAAGAGAAGCAGGAATAACTCAGGAAGCATGAGAAATAAGCGGTCAGTGATACAAGGCACCTCTGAAACATACCCACCAGATATAATTCCAAGTCGGGGAGTATTGAAATGTCCTGAGAGCCCACAGATACTTTATAATGCTTGTTTACTGGGCACATTTCTTGTTCACCCTTGTCTGTCCACCACCCAGGGCTGGTAATTTGCATATAGTAGTTGGTCAACAAATGTCTGCTGTATGAATGAATCTTTCAGTCCCCGAATACTGACTTCCAGAAAGCTTTAACCTTTATTCTAGCCATATTTCTTGTTCTTCACTATAACCCTACTGCTCAGTATAGGTAAGTGCAGGATCAGAATACCCAGTATGTACAAATAACAGTAATAATAATCACAATCCCAACAATGACCACATCTGCTTTTGCTAACTGAATGTCCTTGAGGGGCTAGGCCTTTACATGTATTTCTTTCATTTAACATGGCATTGAGAGGCAGGGATTCTTATTTCAACGAAACTAAGATGCAACTGATGATAAGATACATCCCAGTTTCAGAGCTGTTAAAATGTGAGGAAAAAAAAAAAGAACAATTTAGAATCTATGAAGTCTGCTACGATTATCCCCATTTTGCAGATGAGAAGTGCAAAGAGAAATCAGAGCACTTGGCCAAAGATCATGGGTGGCAAACAGTAGAGCTAGAATAAGAACCCTGGTTTTCTCAAGGGCTTTCTAACTCCAGATCCCACCTCTTAACTTCTAAGAGAATTGACCTCCCTGTGCAGAAAAGAGGGAAACCCACCTTTGACTCTTACTGCCTCTGCTGTGAGACAGAAGGACTATCAAGACACTGGATTTGGTTTAGGCCTTGGGAAACATTTCCCTAGTTGAGATGATTGGGATGTGCTTAAAAAAAACTATCTGCTTTTCTGGTAATTCTTAAATTCCTAACCCCTGCTCCCAAGAACGATGGTTTGAAGCAGACCTGTCCAGAACTGAAGCCAAGCCTAAGACGGCTGAAAATGTAATCAACACTGGCCCCTCAGGCAATGCCTAGCAAATGGCGGAGACAGGTTCTTGGGACTGATTCTTACAGGTGTACCTTCCTAGAAGTGTGTGCAATGGCTGGCACTGACGACCAGTGAGCCAGGGGCCTGGGAGAGACACAGAGCCTTCCTCCTCCACCCTCCTTCCTCCTCAGCCCAGATAAACACTTGCAGCTTGATCTGGGAACTCCTGAAACTTTGAAGGAGGAGACTCTGGACACGAAATATGAAATGTTCAGCTCTAATCTCTGATACTTTAAATAATATTAGCTTTACAGGAATTACTATTTGATTCTTTAAATAATCTTGAGAAGTGGGTGTTATCATCAAACCCACTTGGCATATGAAGGAAGCAACTGTGCGCTGGAAAGGTGAAGGGACTTGTCCAACATGTTTTTTTAATGTTTTTTTATTGCATTTTAGGTTTTGGGGTACGTGTGAAGAACATGCCAGATTGTTGCATAGGTACACACATGGCAGTGTGGTTTGCTGCCTTCCTCCCCCTTACCTATATCTGGCATTTCTCCCCATGCTCTCTCTCCCCAGCTCCCCACCCCGCGCTGTTCCTCCCCTATTTCCCCCGAGAGACCCCAGTGTGTAGTGCTCCCCTCCCTGTGTCCATGTGTTCTCCTTGTTCAACACCCGCCTATGAGTGAGAACACGAGGTGTTTGATTTTCGGTTCTTGTGTCCAACATTTTTAAAGGTTAAAGGAGAAGCCAGAAGCTGAGGACACCCCTGCCTGACTCCAAAGTCCTTGAAACTGCTGTCACCAAGAGGATGAGTGGGCTGCCCTGCAGAGGAGTAAAGGCTGTGTACCACACAAAGGCACCTGAATTAAGGACATACCACTCTCATGGTAGATGTCATAGATTTGCAAGCTTATTAAGACATTTACTGGCCAGGTGCAGTGGCTCATGCCTGTAATCTCAGGACTTTGGGATGCTGAGGTGGGTGGATCACCAGGTCAGGAGTTCAAGACCAGCCTGACAAGATGGTGAAACCCCGTCTCTACAAAAAAAAAAAAAAAATTACAAAATTAGCCAGGCGTGGTGGCAGGTGCCTGTAATACCAGCTACTCAGGAGGCTGAGGCAAGAGAATGACTTGAACCCCAGAGGCGGAGGTTGCAGTGAGCTGAGATCATGCCACTGCACTCTAGCCTGGAGGACAGAGGAAGACTTTGTCTCAAAGAAAAACAAAAAAAGACATTTACCAACAGATGAAAGTGGAGGGTATTGAGAAAGTAGCACCTTTCAAGAATTCCCACCAAAGTGCTCTATGTAAAGAACATGGAAACCAGACCAGGATGTTGGAGGTGGCCAGACTCAGCCAGTGCATGGGATAGACAATGGCCTAGATCAGAAGTTCTACCTGAGAGTCCCCTTTTCACTCTCTTCCCTCCCAATAAGGACCTCCAGGTCTCAAAGTTATCCTCAAGAACCAGATACTGAAACATAGAAATGGAGAGAGTTCTTAAGGCCAATGGCAAACTCAGATTTGCAGAGACTGGCATTTTACTTTCTCTGCCTCTCTGTGTAGATTTTAGAAAGCCTCTAACATCTTAGCTAAAAGTAGACTAGAGTGGTTAAGAACATAGATTGGAGCCAGGCGCAGTGGCTCATGCCTGTAATCTTAGCACTTTGGGAGACTGAGGTGGGTGGATCGCCTGAGGGCAAGAGTTCAAGACCAGCCTGGCCAACATAGTGAAACCCTGTCTCTATTAAAAATACAAAAAATTTGCTGGGCATGGTGGCAGGCACCTGTAATCCCAACTACTAGGAAGGCTGAGGCAGGAGAATTGCTTGAACCCAGGAGGCGGATGTTGCAGTGAGTCGAAATGGTGACATTGCACTCCAACCTAGGCAACAAAAGCAAAACTCCATCTCAAGAAAAAAAAAAGAGCATAGACTGATAGACTGGTGCCGGGCTGGTGGTATAGAAACCCAGGCTCTGTTCTGGACTGGCTGTGTGACCTTAGGCAAGTTACTTAATCTCTCTATGCCTGTTTCCTCAACTGCAAAATGGCAATCATAATGGTGCCTAGCTCACAGGATCAAACATGAAGACTCAATGAGTTACTATCTGTAAGATATGTGCAAAAGAGTGCCAGGCGCACATGAAATGTCATGTAATTGCTAGCTATCAGAGGCCCAAGGCAGAGTAGACGCAAGATTAAAAGCCTGAGAAAGTGTATTTTATCTTGTTGACTTCGGAACTTCAGAATGAGGACTGCATTGTGTCTGCGGTAGGCCAATGCCTCCTGGTACAGGAGATAACTGCTCATGGTGTCCAAGCAGTTAGGAGCCTGGGCCTTTAGTATGTCAGGAAAGCGTCACAGCAGACTCTGCAGGCATAGAGGAAGTGGTCAGCTTCAGACTGTGTAGTATCAAGTGTGGAGCTCCAAAGAGCTTAAAGATCAGCACTGGTAATGAGTTAGGATGGAAAACATAAAAATTCTGACTCCTGGGACAGCACCTGAAAGGGTGAAACCCGGAATTTGCAGCCAAAAACAAAACAGTCCGTTTCTCCTGAGCCTATGAAGCTTTATCTGCACCTTCCTCTGCCTTGCTTTTTCCAGTGAGATGAGGAATACAAGTCATAGCCTCTCTCAGTGGATAATGCTGAGCTCAGGGAAGTCTGGGAGGCAGCAAGCCTGGACCTACAGTGCATCCCAGGCAATGCGCCGTCCACCAGCCAGGACCTGGTGGTGCAGAAAAACAAGACAGGTGGGTCTCTGTTCTTCCTGCTCATTGGGGAAACAACATTCTTTCCCAAAGGAACTGACTTCATCAGAGCCCAGAAGTTTGGGATTTAGCCAAAGACTTAACAGGCAGCTTGAAAACCCACATATGTGCGCTAATGGAAATCAGACCCAGTCCTGGAGCAGGGTGTGTGATTTTGTTTACAAACTGGCTGTACAGTCCTCTGAAAGGAAACCAGGCAAGCTTTCCAAGCCTTACGCAAAGTGGATATGTGAGCCCCAACTATTTCAATATGATGTGAGCTGAAGACTCCGATTACTCCTGGTGTGAACAAAAATGAAAGGGTTGAATTTCAACTGGCAACAGCAAAAAGCACAGCCACAAGTCCCTCCAAACCAAACTCAGTCTGCTTAGCAACCTACCATACCTTGCAAGTCTCGGATGATTCTCTGGAGCTGGCTCTCTGCGTTGGTGGAAGCCATGGTGAGTTTGCCTTTCTTGGCTGTGTGTCTTCCTGCCTGGGTCCAGAGGAAGGCTCAGAACTTCGGCCCTCCTGTGGCTGTCTGCTCAGCAGTGGTTAGACTCCATGGTGGCACCTGCACGGAGGAAGAGCAAGCCATGGAGGAAGCAGACACAGACACAACTGAAAGACAGTATTAGAGAACTCTGCTCTGAGCACAGAGGCCACCCTATCTGGGTGTATTCCCTTAACAGGAGGGCTTGACCTTTCTGTGTGGGCCTTTGCTCCAATGGGCACTCTCGGGTTTGTTTCTGACACACTTATATTCAGACACAGTGACCTTGTTTGGGGCTTAACAAGAAATTAAATCAATTATATTGCAGCCTATTCTTTCTGAGTTCACTTTCCATTCACCACAGATAGGACTGTCTTACTTCCCTTTAAAAAGCTGCCCAGTGGCTCCCTCCATTCCCTAGACAGAACAAGTACAGCTCAGCTTCAGGCAGCTCCGCTGAGCCTCAGGGTCCCCATCTCCCTGACAGCCGGCCCCACGCTCAGCTTCAGATAGCTCCGCTGAGCCTCAGGGTCCCCATGGCCCTGACAGCCAGCCCCACATCCTCTCCAGCCTTTCTTTCTCTAAAGAATGGTTAGTCTCTAGCCAGGCAGTGCTGGGGGGAAAGGCTGAGGACACATACCCTCAGGGCTTCTGGACCAAGGAAAGTTAGGCTTGCCTGGCAGGGTCCTGGAGGGTTTGCAGTCAGCTCCCCAGAGTCCAGCTCAGCCTGGATGTGCAGATGCTGCCTGGCCTTTTCTTCAGAGGCCTGTACAGCCCCCATACCAGGCAAAGGACGTAGCTCTATTTTTAAGCTCAGTTACAGTCCTCTCCCAGCTGGTAAGTCCTGAGTTATCATCCCTACTTGGGCAGCTGTTGAAGTGATTTAGCTGTAGGGCTGAAAGCCAACAGAAGTTAAAGAGATGTGAGCACAACGGAAAGAGGTCTGGAAAGACATCTGGACATTTCTACGTCCTTTCAGAACCTCTAATTCTTCCCTTAGTTATACAGTGCAAAGTTGTAGTGTTTGCTGGCAAAGTAGACAGCAAGACTAGGGATGGCTGTGGCTGCAGCCAGTACTAAATGAGGGTCTATTGTGTGCAGGGCTGTTAGCGCTTTACACACATGATCGCTTTTAATTCTCAAAATCACTCTGGTGGAGTAGATAACATCGTCCCTGTTTACAAAGGAGAAACTGATGCTCAGAGGAGTCATGTAACTCCTTTAAGGCCACAGGTGAGTAAGACGAGGAAACAGGTTTGAATTGTGGTCAATCTGATTTCAAATCTGACAGTTTTTCCAGTAAGTCCTACTGACTTTTTAAGACTAAGCCATTGTTACTACAGCAAATGACCAATCGCTTCCACCAGCTCGAGGTACCACCACAAAGTCCAGCGTCTTCCAAGTAATGTGAACACCCTGAGTGTTCTAACATATGCCACCTCTCACTCTCCCACTGCCACCTTGCCCTCACAGCTCCAGAAGTCCAGGCAAGCAGATCCTGGCATGGAAACCAACCCAGGCACAAGCTCCTCCAAATATTTACATAAGGATTCCTGCCTCTGCCCGAGGAGAGAAGGGCCTATCACAGGGCGGAGATAACGAGAGCCTATTTTTAACTAACTAGCTGGCATAGCTGTGACTCAGTGCAAACAAGGCCCAGAGAGGGCTCCTCTGGCTTCGGAGGAAGGAAACAGTCAGATACATGCCTGCACCGCAGTCCCAGGAATTCATGAGTGCCAGAAAGAAGAGTTTCAGGGGATCTACAGACAACTCCCTGAACCTCCCAACAAATGTTGGCACACACCCATCAGGGACACCAAACAGGGTAGGAGTGCTTTACGAGAAGGCTGCCCACCTATCCCTGGGTGTCTCTCCAGGTCTCCTGCTGAACACAGGGCCTGAGGCAGGGACCAGCTGGGACCCCAGAAAGAGCCAGAGAGGATAAGAACCGCCACTATCAACACACAGCTGCCCAGCATATTCCATCAAGTGCCTACTATGTGCAGGCTGGGGATACAGAGGCACACAAGACACATTCCAGCCATGAGGAAACCTGACTACACATCAAGGAGACAGATGGAAAAATATCACATATCCAGATACAGGGGAAGAGGCCCCCACAGAGATATGGATAAAAAGTCATGGGTACTCAGCTCTGAGAAGATACGAACTCTGGATATACAAAACAACTTGGAGGAATCTGAAACGCCCTGTGCTGAGTCGAAGAAGCCTCTCAAACCATGACAACTGTGCAATCCCATTTATGTGTGATTCTGGCAAAGGCAAATCATTAGGAGAGAAATCACATCAGTGGCTGCCAGAGCCCAGGGGAGAAGGGAGAGTCTGACTACAAAGGAGCACAGGGAAACCTGGGGGGCAATTCTGTTTGGTGCCTTGATTACGGTGATGGTTACATGACTACATGTATTTGACAAACATATACTTGTCACAACTCATATAATTGTAAATTATATGTCATAAAAAAGGAACATTGTGATGAATTTGTAAAAAAAGTCCAATGGGATCTGAAGAAGGGGAAATTTAATTCTCCTTGAGGAAGGGAGAAGTGGTGGGCACTGTGTGACGGCCAGGCCTAGAAAATGAATAGGAGGTCACTGGAGAGAACCAAGAAGGAAAGGATACTGGGGCAGAGGCACAGAAGAGTAAAGGCTGTTTCTCTAGCTGCATTCCTCTCATTTGACTGCTGCCAACCCAGAGGGGCTTGCCGTTTCTGAGAGGAAGATGACTGGAGTGAGTCATCAGCCCTGTGAGTCTTCAGATGCAGCCCACCGGGTCTGTGTGTACACTTCGGACCATGTCTGTGGAGAGGGTGGAGGTTGGGAAGGAGGCGACAGCAACAACAGATCCTGAGTAGCTCTTCCGGGCTGCGGCCAGGACAAGGGAGGAACTACAAAACCAGCTGGATTTTCTGGAAACCAGACCTAACTGGAGTCTGGCACGAGGGAAACAATGCCTGCAAACCCAAACCAGTAGCTTGGCATCACGAGCCTGAACACAGACAGCAATGTGCTCCTTTAAGACTTCTTGGTGCTTTCGTGACACTGCCCCTGTGTCAGCCTAAAGCAGGAGGCCTTGTCAGTCCGATCTTCCAAGTGAGCTCTCTACCGGTGTCAAGTTCCCAGGTCATGGGGTGAGCTGTTCCCAGCCACTGATTATACAAGCTGACTTCCCAAAGAGCCTGTGTTACTAGCAGGGTCATGAGCCCTAAGAAAGTGTCTGCCAGGCCTGTGGGGCGTGGTGGGCTTCCCCACTCTGACTCTGGGTCGCCACCTCACAGGGATTCAGGAAGTAAATCAGAGCTTCCATAGAGAACATAGTCACCATGGGGATGCTATTTTCATGGACTCAGCAGCTTGACTCCTTTGCTCCTCTGTCTTGGTCTGAGGTCATTATTAACTAAAAAAAAGGCAAAGAATGGGCATGATCTCTCTCCAAACATGATCAACTTTCTTGGTGTCTCTAGGTAAGCTTGCCCTTTCATTGAGGGATAACAGACTCCTGGCCTGAACCAGCCTGATCCTGACATCTACAACCCATTGGCAAACAGCTCTCCTAACTCAGGAGACACTCAAAGCTCTGTATACACTACCATGGCTGCTTCAGCACCAGGGTAAGGACTCTGGGACTCACATACCTCACAGGGTCCCCTGCAGTGTGCCAATCACCTCATAAACCCACAGTCCTTGTTGCACAACATGTAAAACCCTTCATCACTGTCTCTGACAGGCTCTTCTAAACAGAGAAATGTGTTTTATACACTCTTTGGAAGCACTGGATTTCCTTGCCAAGAACTCAAAATTATGTTTAAGTCTATCCAAAATGTCTGAAAACATCCAATTTTCTAATAAAGAGGAAAAGGGACTCACGGCATTTTAAAAAATTCTTATTTTTCACTTGGGACTAGTGTATGAGTTCTTAGTCATGACCTAGGTATCATTTTAGAAGTAAAGGATGTTCTCTGGCCTCCAAGTTTTTTAAATATCTGTCCAGATGCCCTGAACGCCTTAAACAATAGCAACAGCAGTGTAGTCAAATTAAGACACAAAGATGCTGACTGACACATGTAAACTTATTTGCACTACAGTACAAGTGACTAATACTCATAATATTGCCCAGAAACTGGCTCAGACAGCAACAATAATAGCATCTGAGTAGCCACACAAGCAAAGAAGAATCATCAGGGGAGGAGGAGGTTGGAGACATGGAAGTCAACCTTTCTCTACCTTCAAAATTTTGCTCCCAACACAATAGCTAAGGGCTGACCCAGAGAGGGCACCTTACAGGTGTGTTCCTCCCCCAGTCCCAAATAAGGAGGGGCGTACCAGCTGTAAATTCTCCCCTAACCAAGAAAGAATGTTAAGGACAAGGACAGATAAAAAGGCAGAAAAGCCTTTCTGGAAGAGTCCATTGCCTAGGCCTGGTTCAGCACACCCAGTGGCATCTATATCTCGTTTCCACCTACAGAAAGGGAGGCACTTGGCTGGTACCTGCAGCTCCGAAGGCCCGGAGGTCCTGCTGGCCCAGCGCTGGAACAGTCAGTGGGCAGGCAGCCTGTCCTCCCCAGAGCTTCAAGAGGGTGGCTAGGAGAGTGCTCTGGAGTTTGCCAGAGGCCAGCTGGGCGGCAGGTATTTCAGCATATGGGAACAAAGACTCATTAGGTGACCCAACCCCTTGGACCTATGATTAAAGTGTTAAGCCACTGCATGTCTGGGTCATCTTTCCCAAACACTCCTTCTTGTCATCTCTCTTAAAGGGAATGAGAACTTGAGGCTTTGTCATCGCTTCTTGAAGCTTCTCTTAGTCCCCTCCCTTCCACCAACAGCAGCAGGTTCCCCGGTTGCTCTCTCAGAACACATACAAAACAGCCACTCATCTAGTCCATGGATCCCAGAGAACAGGGCCTCGAGGGCTCTGAGGGGTTGCTTTTGAATCTGGGGGAAGCCAAGTCTTTTTTTTTTTAGTGAGGTGGGTGGCTGATCAAAAGAGGGCCACACCTCTATACTTGAGGCTGTGGGGCTGCGAAAATATCCAGGAGGTGACGATGACAGGCAGGAGAATCTGGCCAGTCTCTGGATCAACTGCATCAATAATTGAGAACTCAACTATTGCATCTACTCCTGCCCCAAAGAATACAGGCCCCACCTACGTGGGGAAAAACTACAGATCTCCAAAATTATATGCTCTGAGACCTCTCCTGACTGAAGTGTCAAAGGGGTCAATCCAGCCAGTTATGAACTAAGAAGTGAATCTCTGATAGAATATGACACAGCCACAAAACACAGTCTTGAGAAAGCAGCAGGTAACTTCTATGTGCTAGCCAGGTAAAAGGTATTTTTTGGCAGCAGTATGAAGAGGCAAGCCTGAACCAAGAGCTGGGGATACAGGTGTGAAAAGGGGCAGTGGGTGGAGCTCTGGCCTTAAAGGAACTCAGGTCAGTGGGAGAAATAGATAACACATACTCCAATAAACTTACAACCAAGTAAGAAAGAGCAATTGAGGCCTGGTAAGTGCTTTGATGAGAACAAATGAACATAGAAGGTACCAGACTGTACTCCACTAATGATTCTCAGCCCTCACTGCGGAGTCTCATGCTATACTTCTGTGGCTTCCGGGCCATCTGCCACAATGGTAATTTTTGTTGAATCTCTGTTCTTTCCACTTGTCTGTAAACTCCATTGCTGTTTCCCGTAGCACAGTTCTGGCACATGGAAAACCCTCAATAAATTACTGCTGAATGAATGAATGAATGAATGAATTAGACAAAACAAAACACATAGATCCTTGCTCCACAAATCAAACTAAACTTTGAGGCACAGAAATGTACCAAGATGTAAATACTACTAATCTTTCAA